AGAGAACACTTAAATATCAAGGTAGATGTGCTTGGCACTAGCAATTTGCTTCAATTTCCACAAAACCTACCTTTTCCTTGAAGTGTGTAAAATTAACTAGGAGTGCAATGTCAAGCAATTGGCTATTCCATGGCACTTCCAAAAGATCATTTAAAATATCAGTTAAAAAGTTACCAAACTTTTGCAGGTGAAGAGTAACTTTCTGTGAATACTTCCTATATTTTCTGTTAATTTAGTTTGTGGATTAATAGCTAACTCTGCTCCCATCCCTTTTGTCTGATTGCAGTCTTTATTCAGTAGTATTCCCCTAACATCTTTATCAGAGGGATCAGGCAGTCCTTGGTCCACTGCAGTTACAAGTAGCAGAGCCAGGGGTAAATCTCTGCCTGGAATGTCTGAGAGAGCAGCTCTGAAGTGCTGGGAAGCACTTCAGAGCTCCCATGGCTCCAAATGACTCCAAGGTGTTGTGAAAGCCACCTCAAAACTTGTACTTTGCCTAAGTTGTGGGTATATGCACAGGGCTGGTCCTAGCAGGCAGAAACAAACTCGTGACAAAACACTTATTCCTGTGAACATCCCATCCCTCAAGATCATTCTGGCAATTCAAGCAACATGCTTGGTTGAATTTTACAAATATGCAGGTATTGTCTTGGTAAGATTTCTCTGGTAAGGCATATGGCTCCTTGAAGTTCATATTCATATGAAGAAGGATATATATGAAAACAAAAGCCTAATCATAAACTCTAGTTTATCTTCATGGAGATAAATTTTTTCAGAAAATAGCCTTGACTTGAAAAGGCATCTCAAGCTGAGTTTTATTTTGTGAACCTGTTGCAGTACCATACTGCAAAGGAAGAGGCAGATACCTAGTACACTTGCATGTTCAGTGATCTGTTGGTTAAAGTAATTTCTTCTTGTTGCTTAAGAAAAAGTACATCTTTTAAGTCTTTGTTAATACTCCAGGCTTTCAAAACACTTAACAAGCCTGGCATTTGCAGGCTGGTAATATGTTTTGCATAATATCAATGGCCTGTCTTTGTGGCCCATGGGAAAAAGAAATCCTTTTCTTCTTTGTGGTGCATTCATACAGGCCCTCTGCCCAAGATAATTACAAGTGGAAACACTTTTTGTCTTCTGAAACCTTGATTCCAGCAGCCCAGGTGTTTTGATGAAGTTTCCAGTATATATCTAGCCAAAACAGTTTTGCAAAACTTAGCTTAGCTGTATTTTTTGTAACTTTATGGAGGCCTTGCTGGAATATATTCAAACAAATGCAAGAAATGCTGTTTGATCTCTTCAGATGGTTAAATTGTGATTCCTGTTAGCACTGCTTTGGCTTGGTGCACCCTGTTTCCTAGTCAACTGAGGATGAAGTTGGAGGAGCTGGCAAGGCTATGATATTTACATAATGCCTTTTTTCCTGTGAACCCTAAATGTGGATGGAAACAGCCTCTAATCTTCTTAGTGATCTAAGCAAAGATTGAATGCTTTGGGTCAAGCTGGGGTTTTGGATAGGCTCAGTTAGAAAAAAAAAATAAAAATTCAGAAATCCCAGCTCTTCACAGTGATTGCAAATGGAAATATTTACAGACTGAGCTAGTTAATATTTCAGTAGTAGATAATATTTTTATTATTTCACCAGTTTGCAAAGACCACATAATCTGTTTTGAGCCATACTTTTTGAGACATCTTGGAAGCAGAACAAACAGCCCTTGTATTGAGCTCTGGACCCTGCTCGAGTTCATTCCCCTTAGGGTAGTTTTAAGTTTATCATGAGGGATGAAAAGACAAGTGTCAGATTAAGCATACAACCTCAAAATGACTGGAAAAGACTGCATATGTGATCTTAATCCATCTTGCACCACTACCACTATGACTTGGTAAGAAGAGGAGTTTATTAGGTGGCTGTCCTTTCATATCTCACTTATTAAAACATACTGACTGATTTTTGTTGTGTGTTACAGTAACATAGCTTTTCAAACACTGCTACCATAAACTTAAATATTTTAAATTTTTTAAAGTGTTTAGATATCCTGAACTCAGGCTAGAAGTGACATTTCATACTTGATTTGCTTTGCCTGCCTAGATTTTGTGATATTTTTTCATGCAGAAGTTACATCTTGTCAGGCATTCTGAACCAATGTGCAAGTACAATACACTACAATGAAAGGGGGGGAAAAAAAAAATCAGCCTCTCCTATTTACATTTTCCTTTTTCTTCAGGCTTACCTTCCCTAATCCAAAAAATTCATGTTAAGTCGTTTGACTTAATATTACCAGAAGGAGTTTTATTATGTAATGCATTTTCACATAATATAAGATCACTCAGAGACTGATTTTTCAGAACATGAAAGTTAATAGGAGCTGCTGGCCCTCTTTTAAGACCTGCAGCCTAGCGTTTGCAAAGCAAATGGTGAGGTTTTTTGTGATTCCTTTTGTAACTTAAGTTCAGCAGCAGGCTTTTTTTTTTTTTTCTTTAGTTTGTGTTCAGTAATAGAATCAATATTAAAACCATTCCCTGCTTGAACTTGTCACCACTGCATTTCATTAACTTTCTCAATATTTGATGCAAATTGTTTCTAATTAACATGCCTGTGAATAAAGAAAAAAAGGATTCTCAAAAACCTGTGTGCAGTCTGTATAATAATAAAATTTTATTCTCAGCTATGAAGACTTTAATTTTATGACCTTTTTCAAAATTGTTGTTGCTATTATTTTTATTCTTGTAAGAACTGTATTTTAGAATGAAAGCCTTTTATCTGTATTATAATTAATAATCAGAAAATTAAAACATAGTAAGACAAGTAAGAACATGATTCATTATTGAGAAAAAAGAACACAACCAAATCAGAACTGGTCTAATGATCTAATATTTTCATTAAAGGAAATGCTTAGTAGATTCTGTCTTTTTTGGTATGTGCTATCATTATTGCACACATTAGGAGTGCATCTGTTTTGGTTTTCTTCCCTTTATCTGCAAAGGAGACGATCCAATTTGTTAAAAAGGAGGGGAAAAAAAAGAGGAAAAAGGAAAAAAGCAGGGGGTGGAGGGATGGGGGGGAAAAGGGAGGCATATGTCATCTATGTCCTTGTGATTATCCAGAAATAAATTTTGGCCATCCACTGTAAAACAGCATAAAATTTGAAGTGTAGGGATCAAGGGCGATTTCATGAACATGGCTGCCTTGCATTTCCTATGTGGAAGGAAAATATATAGGAAGGAATAAAAAGATACATATGCATATATATAAACTTTCCATGTGTATATTCTTTTTTATAACTAAAAGGAGATAAATACATAGGGGTGCATAATCAGAACAGGATATTGCAGGAGTCCAAATTGTGCTTGTAGAAGTTTGTCAAAGGAGTTGACCAAATCTGACCACTGAGCTCTGTATTGTTATTCTAATGGGAAGAAATAAAAGATGGCAAGGGGTCTATGGCCTCAGAGAGCAACTTGTCAGAGAGATTGAGGCAGTCTAAATCTGACTGTACCCAAACACAACTGTTCAGCCCTTCTTCCCTTTTCCCACCCTGGCAGCATGTTCTCCTTGCTCCCTTTTGCCTTCACTTCTGTAAGTTTGTCCATGCCATGAGGGGTAATTGTCTCCTACTCCACTTCCTTCACATTGTTAATTTTTGTCTGGGTGAGTAATCCTCTCTGAGTTAGGGCACGAACTCCCGTGCCAGCATAAGGGTATCTGTGGATTCCCTATGCTGGAGGCCACAGGACCACACCTTTTAGTGGCAGTATGGATTTAAATCAAATGGAAAGCAGTATGGAAAAGCAGCCCCTGAGCTTTACATGCATCGTGCCCCTTGTAACCACAGCGTTCACTGTAATAACAGGAGAGATTTAGACAAGTATGCCACTAGGCTAATTAAGGGCTCTTCTGCTAAAGAGGCTTTTGTCTCAAGCTTTAGTTGTCAAGATCTGAATGTAGCTATATATATAAAAAATAATTACTATACAACTACAGAAACAAGACAAATTTTAAGGCCTTGATTAAGACTTTGTTTTATTTTTACGTATACACCAGTATGATACTGGTATGATACTGATCTGCTGATACGGGTACTCAAGTTTCAGCTTTGGGATATTTTTAATTTAAAAGTGTTTAGGAAACAAATTGCAGATGTTATTCTGTCTGTTTTCAGCTGATATTTCCATGAACATGATATTCATTAATCTGGATGTCACTCAAACCATTCAGGCTCTCAGTTTGAAATGTGAAGGCTGGTTTCAGTGAAACTCCTCTTGTTGGAAACGGGAGCTGCATGTTTTACTCTAAAAGCAATGCTGGACTGTCTGTTTATTAATAATTGTGAATAAGTATTAGTGATTTGAATAGGCTTTCAGAGTTATGCAAGTTAATTGTATATGGAAACACCTATAGGGTTCCTTTGCATTAGCTATGCCTGTGTTTGGAAATGTTCATGAATGTCTGAGGTAAAGCAACAACCTGTGCTTCCATAGCTCTTGCTGGTTTTTAAAATCTTTGTGCTGCTTGAAATAAGTCTGATCAGAGTTTCAGCTTGATGATTACACTGTACCTTTTTCTTGCTTCAGCTTCCATCCTTTCATAAACTAGTAGGGATACAGTTCTCTTCCACATTTATAGGAATACTTAACACTTTCTGTTAAAGCTGGTTTGAATCAAGTATGCTTTCCCAAAATTTGCTACTGCAAAGTAGCTTGTTTTCACAATTATGTCAAATTACGTTGTTCCTCTTTTTTTTTTGTTATGAAAGGAAGTGTCTTGGTTTTCCAGAACATGGTCTGCCAGTCCTCTTGCCATTCCTATAGTACTCTTCTCATAAAACAAATAGGAACAGAAGGTTTAGAAAATACACCCCAATTCCTGGCTAAACTGAAATATCTCATGGATGCTTGTGCCCTTCATATTCGGTTGCATTCACTTTCATGTTATCTCATGCTCTGTAGCATTTATGAAAGCAATGGGGCATTGTTTTGATCCTGGTATTTATTTTTCTCCCTAGCTGTGTGCTGCCCACCTGCCAACCCGATCAGAGGCACCCAACCACTATCAAGCAGTGTGTCGGGCTCTGTTTGCCGAAACAATGGAACTCTACACTTTCCTGGCCAAAATTAAAAGTGCAAAAGAGGTAAGATGTCTGAGAAGGTTTTCTGCTTTTGAGCTCATCACCATGTGAATTTGACTTACAAAATCGCTTCTGTACACAGCCAGTAGAGAATGTCAAATGCTTGAGGAGAGAATCTGTAGTTTTCAGGGAGTACACTTCTTCAGCTGAGGCTTTTTTTAAATTTTGGCCTGTAACAATTTACATCCCTCAGAATTTGTTATTAATTATGACTAGTCTATTTGGGAGTAAAACAGAGGATTGTCTTACAGGGTAACACATTACATATGTGTACCCATTCCTGCATGCATGTGCAATACATTTGAGTCTAAATTCTTCTCTGGTGTTTCAGGGATGTTATGAAGTATCAGATCTTTGCCTGTTCTTCCTCAGCTCCTTCCCATGAGGGAATTCTCTTTGCTGAGTATCATCTGAGATTCTTCTTGCTCGTATTTTGTCCCCAGTCAGCGACTTCTCTTACCTTTTGCTGTATGATTGATTTGTTGTCTGTCCCATAGGTTTCACAGAAGAGCCAACTTTAAAAATAGAAACATTTTCCCCTTCAGGTCACAGTGCTTATGTTCGCTGTCTGTTTGGCTGTTGTTGTTGGCTGAAAGGCCATCCTGTGAACCATTGCAATTAACGGGTCTGGCTGAAGAGTGACTTTAAGGATGATATTTACTGCAGATCATTTCAGTGATCTGGCCTGCAGGGTGGCCCTGTGAACAGTTGTGTTAAAACAGTCTGGGTGCTGGTAACATTGGAAAACTGGTGGGTGAGGGGAAGGGCAGGAGGGGAAACTCATTTTTCAAAGCTGGTTTCTTCACCAAAGAAAACATATCAAGTAGCAATGCTTTCATAATTTTTTTTTTGCTTAATAAATCCCTGAAGGATTTTCCTTTCTTTTGTTAGTCAAGATCTACAGTACCTTTGAAAAGCAGGATAAGATTTTACAGCCTGACCTAAAAAATTTGCTGCTGAAAGAAGCAGAGTTGTTCCACCTACGCACATGTACTCCCACTGTTTTCCTTTTTCTGGTTCTAGCGAACAAATGCTAGGGAATAAATATCAAGCAAAAGAAAAAATAAAGTAGTTATTCCTTGTCAGGTTAATGAGTTGAATTGCCTCAATAAAGGGTCAGATGAGCCTCAGAGCAGCACAAGAGAGCTTTTATCATGCTCATGGTGGAAGATGCAAACTAGTCACAGACATAAGGGGCTGCTGCTCTTTCCTTTCTTCTGGAGATGCATCATCCAAGAGGGAGAATCCTTCTGAGATGTTTTTCAGCTGCACAGGGTCACACTTCATCTCCACTTCTTCTCCAGTCCTATTCAAACTGAAAGCAATTTTTAAACTGAAGCAGTGTCATACAAGGATAATTTTGGAAATATCAGCATGGCTAAAGAGCCACTTGTTTTCTGAAGAGCCTGTGTTATGGGACATCTGCATCCAATGCCCCTGGTAGAGGGAGCACTCAGGATACAAGACCTCCATGCTAAAGCTGTCTCCCAAACCATGATATCAATAATTTCACATCTTGGCTTTTAACTACTGGATATATTAACTGAGTGACCTGTGCTGGAAACACCTCACTCAACAGCTGTTGCAAAGTCCATGTTGAGGCTCAAAGATAATACCCTTCAGAGTTCTTTTTCTGCTCAGAGAGGAATTGTTTCCAGTAGTTCTCAAACACCTTGGCCACAGTGAGCAGTAATAGGGCATCTTTGTTGTCAAAGTCAAAATAAAATATTGTGGGCTATAACCATTTACAATCATGTCTTAACAATAGTCTTTTAAAAATTATTCTAAAAAGTGGAAAGGCATTTTGAATTTGCAGATTATTTAATTACCTTATCATTGAGCATAAAAACCCAAAAACAGCTGATCACACCATAGAGAATACTATGAGTTAATCCCAAATGAAAGAAACCATTTGCCTCTCACAGACTATTAGGCATTGATTCAAAGCACATTTAGGTCAAAGGAAGTAATCCTTGTGGATGGAATTTTGGCCCTACTGAATCAATAAGACTTTTATTGCTGCACCTAACCAGGGCCAGAATTTTGACCTTTTGATTTAGTTTTACTCTGGATCAGTCCCTCAGTAGGCATGTAAGAAATCACTAAGAAAATTATCTTGGAAGTAGCTTTTGGAAGCTGAATACTTTGGATTTATGATGTGCTTGGTCCTAGCTTTTATCTAACTGTAGATTTGGAAGGTATTTAATTTTGAAAATAATACAGTGTACAAAATAAAAAAATAGGTATGAAGAAAATATGAGGTGGAATGCTGTAAATCTTGTTGCACCATTTAAAAATGACCTTTATAGTTTATACTTGAGGCAAGCAGGGATCATATGATCACATTAAGTTTGTGCCAGTAAAAGCTGTGCTATTGTTTACATGCTCTTCTGTCTTGCAAATACATAGCAGAATCTAAAGTCATGAGGAGTACATTTAAATACTCTTCTAGTAAATTCCTTCTTTCTTTTCCTTTTGTTGTGGTCATATAAGGAATGGGTTAATAAAGTAGATAAATACTGAATACTTAAGTAAGAAAACTTTGTTGTCATGGATTTGTGGTGATTGCATTGGCAGAGAACTGGGGGAAAAGAACCAAGTTACATACATCAGTTCCAATTTAAAAAAAAATTGTACTGTGTAATATTGTGGGTTTGACACTAAAGATGCCAGGAATTTTAAATTGTTAATTTGTTCCAAAAAACAACAGCCTAATTTGGAGATCTTCCTTTAGATTCCCTCAGACCTAGACGCAGTTTTGGATGCGAGATCAAAATGAAATTAAAAAAAAAAAAAGGAGAAAGAAACCTCTGAAATTATTTAAAATAACTTTCCTGTTGATAAAAATTACTTCGAAATTACTTAGATTTCTTCTAGGGCTGCTGAGTGGCATCTGGGTATCTGTTTCCCAGGTATATGAGGTTCATATTTTTTTGGTCAGTAAATGCTTAAATAGGCAGCTTCACTGTAGTGAAAGAGGGAGAATTTTTATCTGTAAAAATTCACTTGCTTGGAGCGAACTAAATCTGACCTATATTATGCTGCAGCCTGGAACAGGTTTAGATGGGAAATAAACTGTGAAAAAGTCAGGGAAAAAATATTGCTGTGATGCAGTTCTCAATTTGGCCCTATAAAATCTTAGCAGGACTTTGGAAGTCCAGGATTTCAAGAGGGGTAGATTGGTAGGTAGGAGGGATAGGTTGTAATATGTTTTAATACTAGTATATATACTAAGGAGTCATGTGTTCTCCAGTCATCATCTGTCGTGTAACAAATAGAGCGTAGATTCACAAAGGGCTGTACTGGCATGAATTTGGGTGAGTGTGTTAATCAGAAATGATGAAGCTATGAGTGAGGTGTTCAGATCGTATCAGTGGATGACAAATAGAATGTTTAAGGCAGTTTGTCACATAATTGATGCCGTATGATTATTTCCAGTCTGATTCCTTGTGTATGAAAGGTCAGCAGTAAAGCTGACTTGCAGACAGGGAGATGTTACTTGCATTCCTGAAAAGTGTGAAATGCTTCATGCAGTGGATGCACAGGATGGATAGAGTTGAGAAAGATGTGATAGTGCTGTTGCAATTGTTTAAAAAAGTAAACAACTAAAAATTTTCTTTTTGCAAGGTGAAGTTTTTTTAGCAAGTTTACTGGGGTATTTTTCAGCTTGCTGGCAGCACCTGCATGCTGCTCAGGGTCTGTGAGAGATGACTTGCTGCAGACCTACCCTGGGTACCATCTGCTGCTATCTAGGAGTGGTCTTCTGATAGGCCAAGACCTCCTAATTCTTGTGACCTGCTGTTGAAGCTTTTACAGCTGATAACAAAGATAACAAAGACAGCTTGTTTTTCATGACAAGAAGTGAGCTTTCAAAATTGCAGTAAGAAAATCCCACAGAAAGGGATTCTCTCTCTCTCCTTTTTTTTTTTTTTTTTTTTTTTTTTTTTTTTTTTTTTTTTTTTTTGGGTGGGAGACATATGGTCCACAAGGTAAAGGAAATGCACACATGAATGCACACATGTATGACAGGGGGAAAGGTAGTTTGAATATCTGCTAAAAATTGACCCATGTGAAAGAAAAGATTCATCTCTTTCAGGATTATCCAAAAGTCAGGCACCTGGCCATAGACAGAACTGTAGGCACAAATAAGTGATGTCCACGAGATAAAGCAAACGTTCCTGCTGTGAAATATCTGAAAAGTTCACACACGTTGCTCAGAAATGGCATCAAATGTGACTGAGAGAGACAAGGAGAGACTGTGCAAGCAAAGGAATGCAAAATGGGTGCTCTGGATCAGACAGGAGGTTCACCAGGGCTGTATCCACATTGGGAACCTGCTTTTTTTTAAGGGATATCTGCCCTCCTCCTCCTCTGGATACCTGTTACTGCCTGGTCTTGCCTTCTCCTGAAGTTAATGTTCCACGTGCACTTCATGGCTGAGCAAGCCAGCAATGTGTCCTTGATGCAAAGAAGGCCAATGGTGTCCCAGGCTGCATTAGGAGTGTTGCCTCCAGGTCAAGGGAGGTGATCCTTTACCTCTGCTCAGTACTGGCAAGGCCACAGCTGGAGTGCTGGGTCCAGTTCTGGGCTCCCCAGTCTAGGAGAGACATTGACATCATGGAGAGGCCAGGGAAGGGCCAGGAAGATGATGAAGAACTGCAACAGCTCTCTTGTGAGGATAGGCAGAGACCCAGGGCTGTTCAGTCTGGAAATGAGAAGGCTCAGGGGGATCTCATCAATGTCTCTAAATACCTGAGTGGAGAGTAAAGAGGACAGCATCAGACTCTTTTCAGTGGAACCCAGTGACAGGATTGGAGGCAGTAGACACAAACTAAAACACAGGAGGTTCCTCTGAACAGGCAGAAGTACTGTTTTTACTGTGAGAGTGAGTGAACACTCACAAAGGTTTTCTGGGGAGGCTGTGGATTCTCTGTCCTTGGAGATATTCAAAAGCTGCCTGGACATGATGCTGGGCTGGCTCTGGGGGGCCCTGCTTTAGCAGGGAGTTGGACCAGCTGACTTCCAGAGATCTCTTGTACTCTCAAGCGTTGTGTGACTCTGTGGGTGGCATCAATAAAAGTGATGCTGGCCTGTAGGATGTAGACCTGTGGGTAAACTCCTCAGCTGGCACAGGTGGTGCTAAAATCACCATGTGATGCTGGCCAGCACAGGAGATGAATGTCCAGTAGGCAGATCTGTTGCAGTAAGTTTGACTTATATCTCAAAAAGTTTTAGAGATTGATATATACCCTAGATCATCAAAATTAATATTTCTTCCAAAACTAATTAAGACTTTGTATATTTTTATAATTGCCTGCATCTTTAATTGCTGTGAAAATCCATGCTCATCAAAAACTCATCCATAATTTCATTATCCACAATGTGCCTTGTAATCAGACTTTTTGGTAGAACATAGAGAAAGCTCCCAATCTGTCATCTTTGTACTATTCTTTTAAAACATGTTGCCTTTCATTTCTGTCCTTTCTGATGTAAAAACATCATTCTTTCAGTCTGCCTGGTTATATTTCAAACCAATCTGTATGAAATGTAAACATACAAATTCTAATTAAGTACATGCATAGAAATGAAGTTGTTCCTTTCTTTTTTTTTCCTAGTTTCATGCCATGCAAAGATTAAGTTGGAAAAGAGCTAATGAAAAAAGTCAGGTGGCTATACTACTGTATTATTTGTACAAAATATGATAATGAAGGTAGTTAATAGGTACCTAAACAATGTTAATGGCTAACTTATTTTGGAAATAGAGTCATTAGCCCAGTTATTCTCAGAAGTCTTGTGATTGTAAAAGTTGTCAAATACTCTGCTGCTTGGATTTTCAGAGAGCACAGCTGGAGAAATGAATTAATTCACAAGTTTTCAGCTCATAACTTCACTTTTGTCTACACTTGCAAGTCTCCAGTGACTCTACTTTTGCAGCTGAGCTGTTGTCAGGCTTGCAGCTCCATAGTGATAAATTTGATCCCTCAATTTAGGACCTTTAATAAGGGAAAATGCTCCTGGTTTGTGTTGGGCAAGGGAGAGTTTGGTTTTATTTTCTGAAGTGGTGCAGACACTGTCATTCAATCAGTGTCACATGCCCTTGGTTTCTGTTTTTTGCCTCTTACACAGTCATGTTGAGCAGCATGGTGACTATTGCCCTCTCCAGAGCTGAGCAAAGTACATCAGCCCATACCTCTATACATGAAGAACTTTGTCTGCTATCAGCTTGTGGTTTTTCAGGATTTAACTGATCCTATTCCCAGTTTGAATTAAATGGGTTTTGGGTCTTTTCAAAGACCTAGAGTACTGCTGCTGCCTAAGCTCTTGGAATTTAAACACATGTTGGATAGCTGAAGGTATATAAAAATTTTCCCCATATGTGCATGTTGTGTATTTTTAAATTGATTCTAGATGTGCAAGAATGTTTTACTAGTTTCACAGATAGCAGTGTAAGAATCAATTTAATCAGTAAACAAGTGATTCCTAATGAAGAGTATAAACTGGGAACTGCAGTAGACTGCGCTCTGCAATTGGTGAAAGGCGAAGTCCAGGTCTGGATTCCCTAGAATACAGCATTCATTAAAGCATCATGTTTTAGAAAGTATTTTATGGAAGGGAGTCTTTGATACTGTGCTGACAAGAGTCTTATATAAACTCCCATCTGGCACTGAGCACAGAAGAGCACATCTCAAATGTGGGCCACGCAGCAGCAGCAAATCTATTGCCTTCTTTTAATAGTACAGCAAGAGGTTTGAAGACATTTGATATTTTTATTACTAGCTTTTGTCACAAGATGCAGTCTTCTGCAAAAATGGCCAGATGCTTCAAAGGTTTTAGAAAAAAGCTAAAGCTCTTGAAACGCTAATTTCCTACACATCCAACCCTTATTCCTGAATGAATGCCCAGGCTGTAATAGGTGAATTGGGTCTGTGGTATGGGTCTGAGGTTCTGGGATAATTTAGAAAAACCCTTTTAAGATTTTTCTGCTTTCTGAAATGGAAATCCATTTAGGCCATGTATTTATTATTCTGTAATAGCTTTTCTTAAGCCATTGTCCCAAGGGTAAGTGCAAGTGGCTACAGCAGCAGCGGCTGAGGTTACTTGAAGGTTTTGGAACACAGTTGAATTCTGACAAAGAGTCTATTGTGCTTTAAATGTGTTGGTTTCTATAATTTACAGTTAGAACAGAGGCAGAAACCCACTGATGCTGGCTGGGGATGCTGGAGGGAAACCCTAATGTTCCATTTATTCTACAAGTTTAAACATAATCATTTGTCACAGTGAATTTATTCCTTCCCAAGCAGCACTTGATACGTGTAGAAGAGTTATAGGAGCCTTCCTAAACACTTCCTGCAAGCATAGAGCACTTGCTGGTTACTTCCAAAGCTTTGTTAGTTCTATAATGATGGAAATTCCTTTATCTTCTGCTCTTCTCCACTAACTGCATGGCGACCTGCATTTAAGTGCCAGAGCCAGGTGCCAGGGAAGGGAATGAACTATCCCTACAAAGTGGCTGTCTGTGGTACCAGGGCTGCAGCCAAGCACTCAGCACAGGGATGGGGAGTAAAAGAAGCCCAGCTTTGGCAGTAGCCTGTGCTTGTACCAGCTCATTTGTATCATAAAATTGCACTTGGAGACACTTCATCTCCTGGCTGGCAGGTTTTGCTCCTGCAGTTCTCTGGTGCATGGTAGCCAGCATCGCTTACACCTGTGCTTTCTTGGGTAGGAACTGCCCTTCCAGCTATGTTCCAGAGAAACTAATTAGATAGTTGCCTTTTTTGGAAGATCTTTCAGCTGCTCAGGGTGGGTTTTTTTTCTCTTCTTATTTTCTACTTATAAGAAAAACAGGTTGTAATCTCTTCTAGCTTCATGAAATATTTATGTCAGTCAAAAGCATCAGCCTTTGGGCACAAATCAGGCCCATAAACTGGATGGCAGGGAACACTGTTGCTGAGATGGGTGACTGCCACCAGTCTCATTGAATAGCTGAAGTTTAGATTAAGCCGCTGGAAGATGTTAATCTTTAAAAAAATTAAAGTGTACCTTCCAGTATGGGAAGGAAGAGCAGATCTGACACTTGTGAGCCCGTTTACTTCTACTTTTTATCAAAAAGTTATCTTTTTGATTACAAAGAGATAAAGTATCAGATGTTATATTTTGCAGTTTGTCAGTAGATGTTAGCAGTTTGCAAAAAAGAAAGTAATTTACAGTTCATAGGTACTGTATTTGAAATGATTACTCCAACTCCAACTGTATGATACAGAAAAGAAGAAACCCTGGATAGCAGAATACACATAAGCAAGGCCTTTAGGTTACCCATTCTTTCCATTTTCCTATTTTTCCCTTGGAAAGGGCAATTGCCTGTGTCAGATTGACCTTAGTGCCAGAACCAACAGAAGTTTTTCCATAAAGACATTCTTTCCCACTTGGGTATCCTGTTGTGATGCTGCAAGTCATGCCAAAATGTTGCCACATTGTCCTCATGATGTATCTGCATTTGTTAGTGTGGGTGATTCATGCTTTTTTTGAGTCTTCTTATAAAAGATGTATTTTTTATTTTGATTGGGCAATGGTAGTATTTATTCTTTGATACTAAAGCAATTGTGTTGCTTACATAAATAAAACAATAAAGAACCCACCTGGTCTCTTTCCAAAACCTCTGTGACAGCTGACTCACATATCCTATCTCTGCAGCCAGGTTTGGTAGATGCTTGCACTGTTGAATGTGCAAGTTAAGCACTCTTCCAGTGCTTCCACTTCTTACATTGAAATGTTGGCAGTTTAGGAACTACTACTTCCAGGAAAAAAAAAAGTTTTTGAAAGTACGCTTATTTTTACTTTTTCTGGAAAGCTCAGAAGCTGAAACGAGACTGATTTGCAGTTCCATTAAAGGAAGAGCTTAAGTGCTTAAAAGATAGAAATACTTCGGGTAGATACATCTGTCAGATCTCTGACCTGTTGCTTTAGTCCCATAAAAAAAATACAAACATTGTTAGCAGTGGACTTAAATATCCATTTCAGATATATTATTGAGTACCTGGAAAATAGATCAAATTAAACATTGTTAAAGATTTCCTGGAAAACTCTCCATGAAAGTGAAGTGGATGACTGAGAAATTACTTGTACTGCTGATTCAGAAACATTTCAGTACAGAAGTAAACAACAACAACAAAAAAAAAACCTTTTGAATATACAAAAGTTGATGTATATAAGAAAATTTGTGTACAGCCACAGCCTTCTGTGTTCAAGCTTGCCTGTTCTTTGGTCTGCTGTAACTTTTAATTGTTTTTCATATTCTTGATGGTATGAAAGCTTTTTTTTTTGCCCCTTTGCACACCAGCTTTTCCATATTTGCATGATCTGATCTTGTTCATAAGTATCAGTTTTCATCTTTGAAAGATCTGTTTCTCTTCCTCACATGATTTTATTATGGATATTTCAGAATCTATACTCATGTTATACTTACTAATTAATTTAAATATTTATGTGCAATTCTGTCACTATTCAATGTTTCTCATAGTTTATTTCTCATAGCTTGTTTCTCCTTCTACAAAAATAAGCTGCCTTGAATTCAACAAGTATTAATTTTGGTATGAATGGATCCTTATCAAGCTGGCAATATTTTCTGTGTTGTAGATTAACAGACCTGATAGGTAATTAAGGGTTTTCTCTGTGTATATAAAAATTTAGGGATAGAAACATTTTAAGGTGTAGTTTTTCCTCCAGAATGTTATTATCTGAAGTACTTTCATACTCAAAACTTAACGTTTGTTCCCAGCATTTAAGGTTAACTTTCCAAGGAAGAGAAATATATTCAAATACTGTTTCAAGTTACTTTTTTACAGTAACTATTCAAGTCATAAAACATTCAGTAGAATACCCAAATAGCATGATACAAAAGATTAAAAATTAAGCTTTAGTTTTACTTGAGAGTTAATGCCACTATTCATTTATTGACTCATTTTCTTTTCATTGGCAGAACCTGAAGAAGATTCAGGAAATGGACAAAGAGGCAAGTGATGAATCCAGCACAGATCTTGATGAACTGAAAAATGCTGACTGGGTAAGACAACAATGGAATAGTGATTCAGCATCACTACTGGCAGCTTATTTTTCTTTATAAATGATAACTAAGGCATTATTACCTCTGCCCTCATGAGACCCCACCTGAAGTAGTGTCCATCTGTGTAGCTCCCAACATAAGAATGATGTGGACCAGTTGGACTGAGTCCAGAGGAGGCCAAAAAGATGCTCAGAGGACTGAAGCATCTCTTCTGTGAGAACAGGCTGATAGTGCTGGGGTTGTTCAGCCCAGAGAAGAGAGGGCTTCAGGGAGACCTTAGAGCACCTTCCTAAAGGAAGCCTCTGAGAGAGCTGGAGAAGGACTTTTTATAAGGACATTTAGTGACAGGGCAAGATGGAGTAGCTTTAAACTGAAAGAGATTTAGATTAGGTATTAGGAAAAAATTCTTTGCCATGAGGGTGATGAGGCACAGGAACAGGTTTCGGCAACTTAGTCTAGTGAAAGGTGTCCCTGCCCAGTGCAGGGGGGTTGGAATGAGATGGGCTTTAAGGTATTTTCTACCCAAAACACTATGATATTGTGTTCAAAACACTCTTTTTTTTTTTTTTTTTAAATATATGAATTAATAGTAACCCACTACAAGTTAGAACTAAATGAAGTCTCAACTTTCCTTTGCAGACAGATGAAACAATACAAGTATCCAAGCAATATATTTTTCCTTAGGCTGTTTTCATGGAGAAGCTTTTGCAGTTTAAAGACTGGACATTTAGACAGGTACCATGCTGACTGCCCTTCAGAGGGGCAGTCAGGCAGTAGACAGAGTCACCAGCTGAATTTCTCCAGTGATGAAAGAAAAAGGCTGCAGGGAAGCTCTTAAGCAGGAAGTAACTTAATTTCTAGGTACTGTTCTTGCCAGTTCATAGAGGAATATTATGAGGTTCCTAAAAAATACTTGACTTTAATTTCCAAATCTTGTATCTGCCACCAGTTCTTTCTTCTCTCCAGCCATTCTGCTTCACAGAAATGAGAGAGAGGTGTTAGTGCTCTTACAGGCAGAGCAAAAGGAGTTGAGTTTTTCTATTTAAAGATCTTAGGACTTGAAGACCATTCCAAAATTTCTATTTGAAGAACAACTTTTGGGGAAATTTTACAGGAGAGTCCTGGGTAACAAAGTTTCAGATTCAATCACTGTTTTAGTTCACATAGTATTAGCTATATGTCTATAAACTTTGATTATGTGCTTGCAGTATACTTGAAGTGGGAATTTAGATGTAAGGCATGAGAATTTCAAATCCTCTTTCCATACTTGAGGTGTGGCCCAGCAGTCCTGCTGAATAGAAATAAAGTTTTGTTATGTTCATGAGTGTTAAAAATAAGCTTATATAAAACAAAATTTGAGATATGGTTGATGTGTTAAAAATAAACTAATACAGCTGTAAATATTTGTGTCCTTGAAGGAAATTTTGGTTTAATGTGAAGTGGTATTCAAGGGTAAGGTATGAAGTAAAATTCCTGTCTCTTTTGTCTTTAGGCCCGTTTTTGGGTGCAAGTGATGAGAGATTTACGGAATGGTGTTAAACTTAAGAAAGTTCAAGAGCGTCAGTACAACCCACTCCCCATAGAATATCAGCTCACACCCTATGAGATGCTGATGGATGATATTAGATCCAAACGCTATACCTTAAGGAAGGTCATGGTAAGTCAAGAGAATCACTGGTTTGTCAAATCTGAAATATTATTTTCCTTTTTTTAATCTTCTTTTTGTCTTTTTTTTTTTCTTCTGAGGATCTTGAAATTACTGTTTCATATAGTTACTAATGTTCATGGGGTTTATATGGCATCATCAATTTTGCACAGTGCATTGAGAGAGAGAAAATGAAACCAACACATGTAGTGTACTTTGATTTCCATGTGGCAGGCATTTAAAATTCTGAAAGACATGCCTACCTATCATAAGCTTGAACAAATCACTTGTGTTGGGTTTTTGATAACTTTAAGAGTCATCTCAAAAGTCCTGTCATGCTTTCCACTGAGAAATTGTTTTTGACTTCTCTTATTGGAGAGTACATTTGTCTTGAGCTACAATATAGTTTTTGGAGTTCCAGGATGTAAAGTGCTGCCATGAATGAATGATACTGTGATGGGAAAGGAAAACCTACAGTAGTTGAAAAATGCCTGTATCACAGTCTTTGAAAACTTACATTGATCTGTTAAGAATTTTCAAGGAATATTCTGTGTAAAGAAAAAAAAAATTAAAAAATTTCCATTTGTAGGAGTTGAACTCAGTTATTTTCAGCAATCTCTTTTGCTTTCAAGTCAAGACAATATGCCACAGCAAGCTGGAGAATGTTCATGGGTCTCCTCCCCCTAGATCCTCATAAAGGTGCTTATAAAATTGACCTGAGGCACTCTTTATCAGAACCCATTTGATATTTACTGGTGTCTCCCTTTTCTTTCTGTCCTTTTGGGTTATATTTTTTTCAGTGTTAAGATGTTCTTCCTGATTGTCTAGCAACTGATCTAAAGGGTATCTTATCCCTAGCAGGACATTGTAAATCCCTTTGCCAGAGGCACGTATTTGGTCAATATCAGTATTTATACCTTACACTTACTAATCTTCACCTGTCATTAGTTAAAATGGAAGCATTGTTTTAGAATATTCAGTATTCAGATGTATTTACTTTCCTGACAAATCTTCACCATTCACTGTGATTCCACCAAAAAAAAAACTAAGGGGAGGGTGGGGGGTGAGTAAGACAGATGAGAGAGGCAGAAAGTGTGTAGTGTAAATGCTTTTTATGTTTGAGCTGAAGATACTTTCCTAATCGAGATCTGGATTTAGACAATCCGATTGTATTTATTTTCTGCTGCAGATGTTGTTTAAATTCTAAATCAATAGGGTAAAATACATACTCAGGTAATGATGTTATTTGTCTTTCCCCTAGCAATTCAGAGAACTGTGCTAAGTGTTCCTACTACCCTCTGCAAAAGAGGACCAGTCCCCTCAGGACCTTAATTATTGTATGCAATCAGAACAGTAGTTTTGTTTGGGTGGGAACCCCTGGGTCATCTAATTTTGCTTTTGTCAGACTGGCTTTTAATTCATCTACTGCTAAGCAAGCTCCTGCCTCTTCAGAAGAGATTTCCTTCATTATGTGGTACATCTTGGGGGCACAGCTGCTGCTCTGCTTATCCAGACTCTAGCTCTGTACAAAATCCCTGGAAGCGTCTATTTCTGGCCTGCTATCTTGTCTTCTAGATAGATTGTCCAAAGTGAACTCTGAGAATAAATATGATTGCAATCAGCTGCAGGTACAGTACCTGTAGGGCTGTCTGTGATGCAACTGCTGGCTTAGTCTGACAACTGCTGATGGTGACACTGTTAGAAAAATCACTTCTTTCTTACTGGAAACTTTAAACTCAGTAACTTGGATTCTGCTGCAGGGTCTGCTTGAAGCATGTTCAACAATAAGAGTGCAGCTTGACATGGAACATGAAGGAATCATACAGAATTACAAGTTTAGTTAGATTGCATAGATAGAGCATCTTCTAACTGGCTATCACAGGCTGAAGCTGATTGTATAGGTTCCCATCAGTGGAAACCTTTGTCATTCTCGAGCAGAGGAGAAGAGGACAAGGATCCCAAATCTGAATTTTAAGGCAGTCTTGGAAAGATGGATTATGTTTCTTTCTATCATTAAAAAATGGATGTTCAGCAAAATTTGTATTCAAAGTAATTTTTACTTTAAATTTATGGGTAGTAGTTTTAGACTTTGTAGCTTGTGAGGACACATATCCTACTAATGATACCAAGAAGTTAAGTAAGTTTTCAAAGTAATAAGTAATATTTTTAAGTAAATTAAATTCAACATGAAATTTCTACTGCTCTTTCTAATAGCGTCATGCTGTGTTTAAAAGAGTAGCTTGATCTGTCACTGACCTGCTCAGTGTTCTGAGTAGAAATTAAAGAAGGAACAGATGTTCGTGCTAGGTCATATTTTACTGTTTCAGACTGTTGTGCTAACAGACAGAAATAACTGGAGCTTCCTGATCTCACCCATTGTTACAGTGCAAATATTCAAAATGTTTTGAAGATGTAAAATGTCAAATTCTGGGCTTTTGGTAAATAACTGGTTTCATTTGCTTCAGTGGCGTTGGCATTTCTATTTCAGTACATCTGAAAATAATTTCAGATTTGTCATCTTTCTATCCTGAGGCAAGAGTCCTCATTTCTGCAATTGCTGTGGGAGCAAGATAGCTTTCATTCTGGAATTTTATAAACTTTAAGTATCTACCTTAGAGGGATTTAATAGCTTTCCTCACCTATGGAGCATCCACTCCCACACAAGCTAAAAGCTGTGGTCATTGGTAGATTCAACACCTCAAAATGGAGAAGTTTAAGAATGAATTACTCTTGCAAGCTTAATTTTTCTTTATTAATTGTATGTGTTGATCTACAGTTTTTAGTTTCAGAGTACTTCATAATTAGCTCTGCTTTCTGCCCATCTCCATCCCCTGCTCCAAGATATGCACCATCCACTGTATTTCTGAGCAGCACTTATTGAACAGTAGCTGATATCTCCTGCTCAAAACATGCCTGTCAGGCACTTCTATGCCCTATCCAAAATCATCATTATGTTACATAACTGTTACACTCTTTGTAGGTAACATCACTCTTGTCATCATATTTGAGCTCTTCACAAGTACCTGTCGTGCAGTGATACAGGCTTGACCATGTTACAGAAGGTGAATTTAAACATACAGGTTGAAGCCATTATTATCAAAATATCCAGTAATTTGAATGTCTAAACTGACAATCCTGTGGCATAGGTTTTTTTGGTTTTGTTGTTGTTGGTTTTTTTTAAATTGGCTTCTTTGCAGTATTTAGCATCTTAGATTACTTAGGTAAATTGCAGTAACAGCTGTGCATGGACAGTATTTTCATAAGCATTGTTTCATATGCTTCAAGCAGGACATAGAGAATGTGAGCTTCACTGTGCAAAGGACTTTGACCACTTTATCCAGCTGGACATTGTAGAGTCTGTGGTTCCCTTACATACAAGTCTGTCCTGGTTGTAGTGAGTTGCTTTCAGCAGGGGAGCTGTGCTTTTCATTTTACACCTTCATCACACGTTTCTACAGAAATGTAGGAGTCATCCTAGGTAGAACAGGGAGCTTTACAGTTCCTAATCATGCTTTAGGAGTATTCAGAGGAGGCACTCTTTGTGAGTAATGTGGTTATCATGTGATACTATAGACTTTTTTCTGCAATAGCTGTGCAAGAACAGCAGTGTGAGTACAGTGCCTCATGAAGGGAAATACCAGAGCACTTCATTCTTGGACATTGCTGCCTGAGCTTGCTGTAGGGCGTCAAAATACTGTGTAGCAACTGTGTTAACTAAAACACTAAACTATCTGCATAATGCAAGATGGTAAATAGATATCTACTTAAAGTAATTTAATTCACCACTGAACTTTATCATGAGCTGTCCTGGAAATGATGTAGTGTATCCCCTCTGTCTGTTCCCATGTCCATGCAATTTCCTTTTAAATGAAAATTTCTAGATAGTACAAGACAGTATCAGTTTCCTGTTGACTATTACATAAAGACAGCACTCTCCTACGTATTGCTGACATCTTTAATAGCTGAACAAATAAATGGCTAAGGTAATTGAGTGTCAGTGATAGGTGATATTATTTTTTGTGATAGTTATCAGCAATGTACTTCTTGTTTGGGATCACCATTTTTAAAGCTTCTGGCTTCAGCCAAAGGTAACTAAGTACCATTGTAGCAGGTTGTTGGTAGATGATGACATGCTAGTTTTTCTGTGCATTAGCTGTTTGGATCTCTACATTTATGTTTGATTTTTATAATAATTGGTTAAGGTTTTTTCACACTGCCCATTTTAATGCAGTCTGCTGTACAAGACCTGTTTTACACACATGAACTGTTAGGGCAGTTTTACAGTGTTTTGAGGTATTTATTCAAATACTGGTTTGTAGTTGGGGCCAGCCTGGTATGTGGAGATGAAAATATATATATATAAACTTGTTCCTTGGTGTTTTTTTCTCCTGCAGCCTGTGTACCATGGCTGCATCTGTGCAATGTCTCTGACTGAGACTTTAATCAAGAGCCATGAATTTTAATTAAGTAAAAGTAAAGGATGCATTTGAAGTTGCTTACTACAGAGAGAGTTAGTTTGAGTAAATAAATAAATCTAGTCTGAACAGAGAGGATTAGAGTTTCCCTTCAGTATCTTTCATGACAGTATCTTGTTTGGGCACCAAGTATAAGAAGGTAGGTTCTGCTACTGATGCTCCTGCTCTTGGCTTGTTGGCTGCAAAACATCCACTTGCTTGGCCACCAGCTCCCCATGTATCCTGTGGAAAATCATTTAAGCAAATCCTACATTTCTCTTTTTCCAATCAGATGGTAATACTGATACTAATTATACCCTGATGGCATTAAGTCAGGACCTTGAGTGCCCTGAGGTGAAAGGCTCAGAGCCATCTATTATTTATTGACTATTGTCATGCAGAGGGTTGTTCCCCAAGGCTCAAACAGAGATTATCAGTTTACAAAACGGCTGTTCTGATGGTAATAATTCTCAACTTCAGCTGTCAACTTTGACATCTGATGAACAGTAGCTCAGGGAAGAGAGACTTCTCATTTCATTAACAATCTTGGGAGATTGGCCTCAAAAAACTGCACAGTCTTTTAACAGAAGAAATCAATCACACCCCTTAAAATAATATTCTCCTCATCAGGAAATGTCGAATCATGGTTTAGTATAAATCTTTTCCATTTTAATTTTTATGCACTATTTTTAAAAAGATGATGCAAATTAGCAGAGTTTAGCAGCTTGGTATTCTTTGCCAAGCAACATGAAATTCACTCTTAGGAAACTAAGGAGGGTGGAACAAATAAAGTTTGGACTGTGTCTGGGGTAAGATATCTCCAGAAAGACAAGATGCTTTCCATCAGGAAAGCAATTAAATGCTCCCCAGGAGAGACTCTCCATCTGATTTCTTAGAGGGAAAGGGATGAATCTTCTCGAGGAGGCTGTCACTCAGCCTCAGCCTGGACACAGGGCATGCCTGAGGTGAGCAGAGCTTGTATGGAAGCTTCATGGCATTGGTGAAGTTCAGTTAGGGATCATATTCACATGACCTTATGGACATTTAAACCCCTTTTTGTGATGGCAGCAGTCCTTCTGGTTAGCAAAAGTGCATGTTATCTGGCAAACCAGACATGTCTTTACATGGGTTTTCTGGCTACAGAAACATCCATATTTGTATGAATAGAGTCCTACCAAAAAAAAATGTGGCAACTGACCCTTAAAAAAGAAAAAAGAAGTCTGAAATATGGAATACTTGGTCTAAGCAATACAGTGTCAACTTGGACAACAGGGCTAATACATAGCTACTGTGTAGAAAGAGAAGGTGGCAGAAGAATATATGCAACGCAAGATGATCTCTAATCCCTGACAGCGTGCTTGGGCACTGTGCTCTGTGAAGACTGAATCTGACAGTTTGGGGTTTTTTTAAGAAAATCCATACAGTTATTCCCAGTTTACAATTTATACATTCTTGATGTGATATAAAAATTTCCATTGCCTTCTTTAACTCCCATAAATATAGTAAATTGACTCTTCCCTGACTCTTCCCTGTGATATCTTACGTATGGTCTTACATCTAAATGTCTGTGTCTCTGGAGAAAACCAAACCAAAAAAGCAAACAACTAGCCCATCTTCTACAGAAATATGTGATTTACAGTGAGGAAACATACTTCTCCCATAGACACCATTGCAGCTTTGACATTCGATTTCATTACTTCAAAATCCTAAATATTGCTGCTTAAAGCTGCTGCAGTTGGAGTTATTTTGCAGCCATCAGCAAAGCTGATTTGCTTGCCTGTGCTCTGCATATGGATTGTTGCTCCACTCAGGACTGGTGAGGTTTTATATCTTGTGCAGGTGTCAGAGCACTGCAGCTCTGTCAGGGTTGTTGTAAGTTTCCAGTTAGTCTAATCTGCATGAATACAAATGTGAAACACAGCAATATATATTTTGTTTTCTCATTTCCAGGTCAATGGTGACATCCCACCTCGATTAAAAAAGAGTGCCCATGAAATAATCCTGGATTTCATCAGATCGCGACCTCCATTAAATCCTGTATGTAATCCAGTGGGCTTCATTCCTTACAAAATAGTGGCTTTTTAAAGCATGTTTGATTCTAGCAAATATGTAGACATAATATTATCTGCCAGGGCTTTCAAAAATACTGTCTTCTGTATGTAGAACAGGATCTCTTAAAAGAACAGTGTGTAATATGTTGCACATACCAATTAACAGCTGCCAGCAGCCCTTTATCTCTAGGAAACCATGATGAATAAAACCCTCTTTCAAATTTATGTTGAGGTTTGAAACCGAGTGTATGCAAAATCATATCACAGCATTCCATGTTTTTTTTTAAAAAGTGTGAAATCTACTTTCAAGGACGCACTTTTTAATGTAAATATGATTGTCTCTGTGTCCCAAGGCGTCGGCAAGGAAACTGAAACCAACCCCACCACGGCCCCGCAGCCTCCATGAAAGGATCCTGGAGGAGATCAAGGCAGAGAGGAAGTTACGTCCAGTCTCCCCTGATGAGATAAGGCGTAGCAGGCTGGGTAAGCACATGGCCAGTTTTTACTTGCAGCATCCACAAGATGCAGCAATATTAGCCACATCTGTGCAGATGTCACCGAAGATAAAATTACTCCTTCAGAAAAAGAAATCACCTACAGGCTTTTCTAGGGCTGCGCAGTCTTTGTGTTTAGTTATAGTTTAAAATATGAAACAGAATGGTTCAGATTGATTCCGTACAAATTTTTAGTGTATTAGATGAATGGAATGGTATTGTATTGCTTGTTGCACATGACATTTTATGTTAGATTTGCTGAGAATGGAACAGGTATTGTTTGTCTCTAGTTCAGTACACCTTGACTATCTGAAAGTATTCTTTACATGTTGATTTTTAATTAATTTATTCTCTTTGTTTCCTGTTGTTAGCATCATCAGCTTCTTTATTTTAATTTAAAATTGGCTTTTATTTTGTTTACTGAATCTGTTGCATTTATTTTGAATCTAAATCTTTGCTTCCTTTTCCAAGCTATGGAAAATGTGTTTGTAGGTCTTTATATGGGAAAATAATTCAGACTTGTACTGCAAAGAATTTCATTTCTGCAGTGTATTTTCAGCAAACCAATATGAAATGATGCAAATACTATGCAATGCAGCAGTCACCAGTTTGCATTAGTTCAGTGGTTCTGATGGCAAAAGCGTGACAAATACAGTCCTACATAGTGACTTAGATTGCTTTAAGTGTACTGTATTTATCTGTATCAGAAAAACTGAAGTAGCTGAATTTTTAAAGAGCAAATGTGGAATCTTATGTCTGAAAACTGTCAAAAATCCACATATGTACCCTCTGTCACTGCTTTTTGAAAGATATTTGTGCTTGCCACATATACCCAAAGGCACTGGTCCAGATTCAAGTGGATTGTGACAGCCCATTGTCTCTGGAGAAAAACAATTTCATCAGTCTTGCTTTGTTGCATTGTTTTGAAGTGCTTGATGGAGTTTGGGGAATGCTTTGGTGCGTTTGTAAAAGAATGATGCTTTGAATATTGTTTTTTTTGGGCATTCAAGTTTCTGGTTTGGATTCAGTTTATGTTTGCTGTATCAATTAACATTTCTCACAGGCCTAGACTTTTTTCCAAATGTAGGAAGCTTGTAAAAATGTAGAATGACTCCTTTCTTTTCTTCCAAACATTCAGTTTCAGAGTTTTAAATGTTCTCTGTCTGGGAGCTACCATGTTGTCTCAGGGACTGCAAACCGGATCTAATATGTATTTACAATTTCTAACTGATATAAATGACATCAAACCCAGTTAGTAAACAGTTTCTAAAACTGATGTTAAATTTTGAATCACTACTGATTAGGACTCCTGGACTGATTTCAAGGCATTATCTCCAATGAAAGTTACCTATCTTCCACTAATTCTTCTCTTTTTGTTAAAGCATTAAATTGTTGTGTTTTGGAACTGGGGTAATTCCTCTTAAGTCCAGTGAATTGACTGGATTAAATGCCACTTTAATGGGGATGTAAAAGTGGATGCATGCAAGCTTTTTTCCAAGTATATGTTAGCTGCTGGCATGAAGAACTAAAAAGACCAAAGTCCTTTAAGATAATTTTCCCTACGTTGATGTATGAGGTTTCATTCTTTCTCACGATAGGAATGATTGTTACACCTAAAGTTCCTTTTAAAAAAGAATGTGCTTGTGCAGTTTAGTAACAAGTAATGTTGGTGGCATTCAGTATGGCACAAATAGATCTGCCATACAGTTTAAATGACCACTGAATGTAATTTAGTGTAACAACATGTAAGGTAATGAGGTTTAAGGATTATAAATCTAAGTAGGAACACCATGTGGGACCCTTGCACCATCTGGACAGAACTATTTGTTGCTATTAAAAAGGAGGAAAAAAATAGCACATTAAAGTGACGTATTCAAGAGCATAAGGTGTATTTCACATGTCCCAGAGCTACTCCTTTTTGCTCAGTTTCTACCATCAAGAGCACAACTGCACTTGGCTGTTGGGGTGAGTGGGGGCTGTACTCTTGCAGTTCCTCCTCTGTGATAAGGCTGTACCTGTGGCATGTGTTCCAGCAGCCACAGGCTTTGTCCCTCTCTACACAACACATGTTAGAGGTAAGATCTTCTCTACCCTGGCCAGTCTCAGTCTAAACCTTCTTTGGGAATGGGGTTGAGCTGTGCTCACAAAGAGAGAGGTTTGAGTAGAGGAGTTGGATTGAGCTTTCGAATGACCTCATAAAATCGTCAGTGTAAGCCATCAAGACAAACACAGCCTTGAGGTACACGTCCTTTTAATTAAAAGCATGGATTTGTGACTCAAGCAAATAGAGCTAATGGAGCTTGGAGAAAGCTTTGTTTCATGTGCAGGTTTTATCAATGTCTCAGCATCAGCTGATAAACACCCTTCTGCTTTAGAAGTATGTGCCTTTATGCTAAGTTTGGACAGAAATTTTTAAACTGTTTCTGTAGCTATTATCTATGGATAATTTCTAGTTATCCAGTTATCTAGTGGATACAGAAAAAATTCCCTGACTCCCAAAGTTAGTTCTGAGTCAGCCACCTACTGCATGCACCACTTTAAATTATTCTCATGAGGAAAACTTGTCCCAGTACAACCTTTTTATAAACAGCATCTTTTAGGGCAGTGGTATGTGTGTCTGACAGGCTCTTTCTACCAGCTTGCAGGTTGATCACCTGTCAAGTAAGACACATAAGCTGATTTCAATTTTGATGCATTTTTGCACATTCTTGTCACTGGGCTTGGCCTGATTATCTGGATTAGTGCACTGAAATTTTGTTTTCAGTTTAATATTTTGAGGGTCTGCTCCCTGAAGCATGGTTTAATTGGAAATACAGATAAGTCTTTCCAGAAATGGAGAACATCTGGCCACTTTCTTATCTAACAATAAAATCATCAGAGGAAGAAGAGAATAATATTACGGATGCATTTTAAAGGCTAAGTGAACCTAGAGTTTTTAAAAAGAATAGTAATCAGCACAAATCAGATTTTGTTTGACCTTTTTTCCATTCTCTTCAAGGAAACTACTGCTCAAGCTTAGCTTGGGTGTCTCTCTTTATTAGTTTAATTATAATCATTGGAGATTATGCTTAAAAAAATTGAAAATATCTTTATTTCAGGTCACTGAAACTTGTGTGAAATGTGGTTTTGTGCTTTCAATTTTTTTTTCCAGCTCTTTCTCTCTTCTCTTTCTTCCCCTTTTTCCTGGTTCTCTTTCATGGTGATTTTACTTTAAATATTATTTTTTTTAGATATTTGTCTCTTGTTTTGATATTTGATTTATTTGATTCCAAAAATCTTAATTTAGTAGTAATATAATTGCTTTGTTTTCAAGTCCTGTTTATGCTACTGTAGTTTTCAGACTTTGAGCTTTACTACAGTGAAGCAGCAGTATGTCTGACACATTTTGGATTTAAGCAAGGGAGTCCAAAATGTCTCAGGTGGAGTTAATCTTTTGTTTTCATTGTTCTTCTGTTTTTCTAAGGGCTGAACCATTTTCTTTTTCTGTTGTGTTTGTTTCTTTTTTACAGCAATGCGGCCACTTAGCATGTCTTACAGTTTTGACTTGTCAGGTAAAATGTGCTGAACCACCTGATGTGGTTGTTGTGCTTATTGTGAAATTCATTTCATCTGTTTGTTGAATTCCCATCTAAGAAAGAAACTTGAAGGGATTCTTCCAAGATATGGTCAGTGAAAATAAAAAAATTAGATAAATTAGTTATTAATACTTTCATTTCCCTTGCCACAAAAAGATGCCTAGGTACAGGAAACATCTGTATTTCACCTGAAATACAGAATGTATTCACCAGAGTGCTGCAATTCTGTTTAAATAAATAAACAAAATAAGGTTATCCAGAGCTATTCCAGACTCTTAAAAGGATTGCAGAATAGAGCATCACCTTCAAGTCTGATTTATTTATTTATAAATCTGACTTTTGTGTCATTGCACTCACTTTTTGACTAGACCATCTTTTTCAGTACTTCATTTCTCACCAGGATCCTAAGACTAGCTTTGAACTCATCTACCTTTCTAGATTAAGTGAAAGATACCTATGTATATTGATCTAGAAGTAAACTGTCAGTTCTACAGCATCTTTATGGTGACAGCTTTGTGAGCTATGAAATCAAAGACATTCACCAAAAAAAAGGCTAAGCCTTCCTTCTTGTTTAGCAAAGTAAGGTTTGCTGGTAATAGCTGGTACAGAGGATCCAAAAGGTGACCTTGATCAACTATCTTATAAAATTTATATTGTAATATAAATTTTCATGTTTCCTCTGGTGAGCCATTAATTAGAACACGCAGCAGCTGCATGAACTTGTTCCCCTTTGGATAGCCTAGTAGCCAGAAAATAATTAATTCCTTCCTTATTATACACTAAATTTCCAGGATGATCAGGCCCAAAATTTCCATCATTGATGTTGGAAATATTCAGCATCAGCCTCAAAGGTTTGTTGCAGAGGAGATAGCTGGCTCTTGCCTAATTTCCACTAGGTGACTCTCAAAAAAGTCTCCAAATAAATCTGTTCTTTTTTTACCACCTCCCCTGTGTTCTTTGAGTTACATGTAGAAACATCTCATCTAGGACTTTAGCAGAGTTAACATCCTCAGTTTTTCCATGCATCCTTTAGCCTCATCTGGTTATTTTCCCCACAGAAAGGCATCATCTGACAGAAATGCTGGTGTATTGTGAACTAGAAAGACCATACAGAAGTTTTTTGATTACTATAACCTAAAAAATACAGCATTTATGTAACATGGGAACACAGTTGACGAGTGACATATCTGTGAACGTGGCTTCCTGTTCTGACTGAGCCAAGGAAATAGCTTGCCACTGTTGAGAGGGGAGGAGGGACTTTCACTGCTCCCCCTCTTCCCCAGGCTCCCCTCTAAGTGTGTGATTCTCCCCCTTCTCTGTGTCAGTCCTGCTCATTTATTCACAAGAGGACTGTGTTAAACTCCTGTAACCCAGGAACAATTGCTTTTAATATTTTTTACCAGGTTGTTCTTCTGCTCTTTTAGTGATTGAAACCTGCCTACTATCTGATCAGATGATCAGAGAGCTGGCTAAGGAGGGCAGCTGATGAGCATGGGTGGAAGGGAGGAAGGAACAGGCTCTGCTTCAGAGGCAGTGACAAGCTGTTAATGCAGCTCAAGCCTTTTTGTGAAACCTTACACTCGTGGTGTATGGTACAGCTACTACAGCTGTCTGCTGGGATTGACATTACATATGTACATGGCATCATATTTTACTCCACTGAAAGCTGCAGGGTCCCCAGGGCCTCAGATAGCAGCCTAAACAGGCAAACTTAAGTTTTGAAAAAGTATTGCTACTTTCAGATGTACTGAAAGTTCTTGTTTTAAGAAGATAAAACTGAATATGCCAGTGACCAGCTAAAGAGAAATGTTCAGATCTGTCTTTCTATATGTGTCTGTCTGCTTCTTCTTTTGCCTTTCATTTCTAAGAATTCTGGGACATCCTCATTTGTTTAAAACCAAACAATATTTTGTAATCCATTGATTCATAACCATAATATTTTTATTTTGAAGAAGTAGCTTAAAAAATCTGTGCTGTACTTGGATTCGCTGTTTTTGACTGACCACCGAAGAACTCTTCCTGGTTTCTTTATATCCGTCTCCCAAATGTGATTGGTTTTGTTTCTTCAAGTCATGTGGTTCTAGCAAGTAGCATCATATGGCGTGACTGAGTGATCTGATAAAGTGTCCTTAGAAGTAAATTTGGGATGATGAAAACATTCCAGTTAGGTAGATGTGAGACACCGGATAAGCAGCACAAGTGAATTAGATAGGTTGGGATATTGATAGTAAGCAGATAAGCAGTAATTTTGGATGCTGTTGCTTTGCGTGCTTTTACTTCTTTCATTATTTTAGAGACAGAGACACTGTACTGTGCTTTCATCACTGTTCGCACACACTTGCTTTTTCAACGCCTTCATTGCACTCTGCTTGATGGAATTGCTGTCACAAAAACTCCACAAACCAGCTGAAAAAGAGAAGTGTTTCCTGCTAGGTGCTGAAGGATGGGTGCAGGTTTATATTATTCATGCTGCCTGCGATGGGGAGGATGCAGAATCCTGAGAAGACTTTTTCTGGCACTGAGCCAGTGTAGTTGGTGTGTCACAGTGCCCAGCTCCATGTATCTGCCTGCTGTTCTCCTGAAGAGGAGACAAGGGGCCCCTGGGGTCTCTTTTTACAAGTGGTAGCCACCTGTAGTGAGTTACCTGAGAGGTACTCAGATAACAACTGGGGACCAGGGCAGTCATTACCCACCTTGTCTAATAGAAAAATAGCTGAAAAGCAGTTTCATTTCAATGCAGTGCTGAATGCAGCTCAAAAGCTCAGTCATTCCCACTCTTTAACACTCAAGTTCTTACCTCAAAGCTATGTGCATTGCTGCTTTGAAGTTGTTTCAGAAACAGTTTGTACATTTTGGGAGAAGGGGAGAACTGGGAGGTGTGCAGGGAGAGAAAAGGAAACTGAAGCATTTAATGCCAAATTTCATGGGGATTATTACTTTTAGATAACTCCACCAGGTCTTTGTAAACTCTTTAGTTTACATAACACAATGATACATGTGATGCAAACACAGCAAAATACTGATTTATTAGTTCTCAGGTTAGAATTCAACATCTGAAGTCCACTGAAAGGAACACATCTCTGTTACTTTTATGCATTATGTAATATTTTACAATATATTATTGACATAATAGCCAGCAAAAAGCAAATATCTAATAATTCTACAAATCCATTTTAGACTTATTTTAAACTCAGTGTATAAAATTATAATCCCAAGGAGTACATTTCCTGTATAGAAGAAAATTCAGGCTTCTGTCATCATTCTTGGCTGAGGAGAGCTGGTTAGGAAGAAGACAGCATATGGTTACATGACTGCTGAGGTTTGCATGTAATTTGTGGTCTGCTTAATTCCTTGTTTCACAAGAGACATAATCTTACATGTAAAATAAAAGCACATTTCATATTATCCTCTACTGGGATTTTTTTTGTCTCCCCCTTCCTAAGGCTGGTCAGGGAAGCCCAACACAACGATCAAGTAATCAAATCAAGACCCTGCCTTCTTTCATTTGCCTGTTGTAATGACAGCTTAGAGAAAATCTCAAAAGAAACCAAACACATTCATCCAATTTTCAGGTACTTTTCACTGTACTTGCTGCCTGAAAACACAGAGAAATTACACTCCCCCAGTGTGTCTGACTCTCTAATAAATTCTTAACCCCAGGCTATTAGCCACACAAGCCTTTTTTAATATCACTGGAATCATCTTCAAAACATTTAAGTGTTCTATGAACCTAGAGATTGTAAACTACTATCCATTTTTTAAAAAAATAATCTAGGTTTTGTTCCAAAGAATTTTCAATTGATTTCTTCTGTCATGTTCATATTTATAAGATTTAGTCTATTTGTTGCTTCTGACTTGTTTGTATTAAATAATTTTATCTTGTTTATGACAATGTACAATTATTTGTCACCTGCTAATGTTTCTGTTGTCCAAACAGATCACTAAAACAGCTTAAACAAACTAATCATTTTTTGGTCTATGTCTGCTAACAGATTCTGGTTTTAATTTTGGAGCAAGGCTTTTTTCTTGAAATCTGTTTGTTTAAACTCAAATGTCATGATCTTTTCCTTAAATTATGATAGTCCATTTATTCACATGAATCCAGTACTGTAAGTGCAAGAATGATAAATTGAACTTGATTGACCAAATGGATTTTATAGATTGGATGGTTTTCTAATTTCATTTGTTTTTTTGTTATTATTATTCTTTAGTATTTGCAAGTTGTAAAAATTCCCTGTTCTGTTTTTTTTTTTCTCTAGAGGAGAGAGAATGAATGATGATAATGATAGAGAAAGAATGGTGATAAATGACATTTCCTACTGAAGAAACCTTGAAAACAAGTACTATGTTTGATTGTCTTCTTGATTCACCTAAAATTTCTTTGATATTTCAAGAAGACTTGAATCAACATACGAGCAACTCAGCAACATGTATGAACAACTCATACATGCCTGACTTTAAATAGAACCTGGTTTAGGCTTCCTAGATTGTGATTGGCTACATAAATTACTTTCAAAATGGACCAGAAATTTCCATTTCTGAGGCCTAAAGAAATTGCACCTAAATTTCTAGCGAGAAAAAAAAAATAAAGCAAGCAAGCAAAAACCACCAGAAAACAATTTTTTGATGTGAAAACACGTTCCATCACCTGCCATAGGGGTTGTCTGGTGGTGTCCCCCCTATTTCCTTTCCCCAGGCCTGTTGTGTGTTTTACTTTTTGGCAGGAGGGGAATGCTGTAGGCCTTCCCGTCATGGCCTTACCATTTATTCTCTCAGTAAGTCCAGCAGTGCTTACAGGCCATTCTTCACCCTCCCTACCATCAGGCAAGGGAGTCCCCACCCAGGAGGTTTAGGGGAGAAGGGGCACCACTTTTGGCTGCTGTGTGGGTGGTGCAGGGGCTGCTTCCTTGGATGGTCTTTTCAGGACCTGTGATATCCAAAGACAAATGAAAAGTTTTTCTTTCTCATTTGGGAAACCCAGAGCTTCTTCAATCAACTACATGCCAGCTAGTTATGAGGTCTCAAGAAGTGTCATTGGCAACAGGGAGGGGAGTCAGTTTGGGTTGTTTTCCTCCTGTCCCTTTCTGGAATTTCATTGAGCTGCTGTTGGAGCAGGAATGCATTTGATGTGAGGGAAACCCATGCTGTACTCACAGAAACGTAAGAGGAGAAAAAACCATGACCTATAAGCCATTGTGGTAGTCAGGACACCCATTAGCAAAGCCTTTGAAGATAGGAGCTAAGGGTTAGAGAGTTGAAGTCTTTGATTGCAGCTCTTTGCAATCAGGAAGGACCTGAAGGCAGTAATAACACTGTAGTACACAGATTCATAGGCCTGGAATGTCACCATGACTTTAGTAGCCCAAATAATTGCCTTTTCTTATACTCCCAGTTGAAGATATGATATATATAGGAAATACAATGCACCCCCTCTCCTTTTTAGATCAGTTTCCAGCATTTAACAATAACCTGGATAATTCTTTAAAATATATATTGATTTACCTTACTCCTTTTCTTAGTTTATTTCAATAGGTGCTGTGGTGAGAATGTTGTTAAACAGACCAACTACTGTACATGTGCTTTGTGCAGTCTGTAGCTTTGTTTCACCTGGTGCAAGGATGATTTTATCCATGCAAATGGTGTTGTACAAGGAGTGACTGTGTCTATTTATACCAGGGCAACTGTGTAAGTAACTCTAAATGATGTGTGAGTACTTGCATTGTTGGCACTGTGAATATCTGGGTGATATAATTTCTCTGTCATAGTCTTCCCAGTAACCTAAGGTACAAGTCACTTGACCTTCTGTGCCTCTTTTCACCATGTATAAAAATGGGAATAATTACTCATCATTACCCTAGCCATATAATACCTGGAGGTACCTTGTTATTACAAGGCTGGGGAAGGAGTCCTATAATTACATGAGTAGAAAAACACATTTGTAGAAAGACCAGCTGCTTAAACATACATGCAAATGGGAGATTAAAAGCTTCTCTTCCTTGTCCCTCCAACATAATTTTCTTCAGTTTGGAATACTGTACTTTGTACTTTTACAGGGATAAAACTGATTTATCAGACCAAACTCTAAGCTCTCCTAAAATATCAAAGGCTAGGTCATTATCTTAATGTGTAAGACTAAGCTAGGCTAAGCACAGCAGACCCAAAGCTTACATTATCCAGGATGCATCTTCATTGCACACTGGCATAAATCCTGAGTAATTTGCTCAGTGGAGTTACATCCTTGTAAAAGTCATGTAAATGAAAATTGAGCTGGAGCTTCATGTTTCTGCTGTTCCATGAAGGTCTGACTTCACAGACATGTTTTTAATACAAATGGTCATGCAAGCCTTAGCGTTGTGTATGTGTTTGATGAACGCTCATTATTTACCTAATTTTCATTCCTTCTCTGTATCCTGCAGAATAAAGTGCAGTTCTGTCCTCACAGGAAAAACTGGGTTTACTCTATGCTAAACCTCCTAATTTCTGTGTGGCATTGTCTCCAGATTCAGTGGAAATCCACTTGCCCAGATATGGTTGTGCATTCTTCTGGTCCTTATTACATTGTTAATTATAGACTATACTTTGAAGGAATAATATTTTCAGGTTTAACACAGGCAATTTTTCTGAAGCTGATTGGTGTTGGTCTGAGGTTGGGTTTTAGCATTATGCAATGCTGCTTTTTGCACTGCTTTCATTCTTTCATACTGCTTCTGTACTGCAAGCCATTGCCTGTAATTGTCTGAGCAGTGAATCACTAAAAGTAAAATAATTGCACAGGTACAACTATCACAATATTTTTTTTTCTTTTGTGTGTATTGTCTTAACAGTAAGATTTGAGAAAGCAAAATACATTTCAGGTGCAAACACCAATTGTTCTGTTTCTTTTGGTAGATGTACCGACACCAGAGGCTGGAAGAAAATTAGTGGATGCCTCTGTAGTGAACGGTGGCCCGGCACCACAAGGAAAGCAGAACGGGGCCACACAAGTGGCAGTGCAACGCAAGAGACTCCTTAAGGCTCCCACGTTGGCTGAACTTGACAGCTCAGATTCAGAGGTAAAAAATCAGGACACAACTTGCTTCTCTATTTGTCACAACTGAGTATTATTTCTTAGTTTGCTGAACTGATCAGATGAGAAGTGACTGTGCAAATTATAATCCGAATTTTCCATGGCTGCTTTGTCAGCCCACAGAACTTAAAAAATACTAGATCAGACCCCAGAATAGGAGAACACTCTTTTGAAAGATTAAATGGTAATTTTGGCCTTAAACCTATATTTACTTACTTTCCTAAATGCCCAGTATCTGTCCGCATTGTCTTTGTAGTGATTATGCTTTTGGGAATTTAGGAAAGTACATAGCACCCTTCTGGCACTCATGCAGTAGCTGTTACTAAAGGACTCAGATGTGGGGCTAGCCTCACCATAACAGCTGTTAAATGAAAAGCAGCAGCTGTGCCAGAGGGGTTGCAGTTTGGTGTCAGTGTTAGTGCATTAGTTTGCTATATAAGATTGGGAACAAACACCCCAAAAGTGTTTCACAGATAGGGACAAGGAAATATCACTCAGGTGGAGAAATAATTCTGAATTCATCCACTGTAAATGGGGAGTTAAAGATTTGAAAAAGCAGTAGAAGGAGAAAACCTTAAAAAGCTTTTTAGCTTCAAAGCTGCATTATATATGATCCTCAGGAAGTACCAATATTACATCCTTAAAAAGGAGCTTTGTGTTCTGGACTAGTAGTGTTATTAATTGAGTTTGGACCTTTCTGAAAGTTAAGCTGTCTGGAAAGCACATGCAGGCGAGCTTTATTCACAGGGGATAATTTTAGCCTGGGGAAAAGCAGTCTTCCCTGACTCTTTTTCTCTCTTGTAAATGGGAAAGGAGGGGTTTCCTGACAGGGTGGTTACAAAGGCATCTATGCTGAAAGATAGGAGGCTGGGAAGAAATGTATGTGGGGAGAAATTTATCTCTTTGCATGCTTTCTGATCTGTGAAAGGTTGACCCTCTTTGGGGTTATCCTGTGGGTGACTTGTGTGGGTGCATAATTTGATGCATCTGTTTTGAAAGCAGAAGAGATTTGCATTCTGAGATCACTCATCAGTCTTTAAAATTACAATAGCGGCTATATGTGGTTTGTTAATATGAATGAAGCTGGGCAGGATGCAGAAATACCAAGATCTGTCAGTGAGAGTTGAATCTTACAGCCTTTACCTCTGTGAATCCTGAAGCATCATGTTATTTTACACAGGAAAATGAGCAAAAGTCAGTAAAAGAAAATTAAGTAATGGGAAATGTGAAATGATTATTGTAGAAGGGAAAAATAAAATATCTGAACATGGCTATTGATTAGGGAATACTCTGTCGGCAAGCAAAGTGGTATGGAACAAGCTCTGGAACATACAGCAAAAGATAAATTGAAAATAAATCAACCACATCGAGCTGTCACAGAGAACAGATGCTGGACTAGTTTGAGTCAATAGAAATAGTGGTGATGCAGCTGAGATGATAAAGATCCTCAGCAGAATACTGGTTGGGGCTCAGGAAGAGTGCTAAGGTAGTGAAAATAAACAGAAGGGAGTTTGGGTGAAGTTTTTCAAGGTGATGAAGGACATAGAACATTTGAGGAGGGTGAAGATCACTCTGTCCAAATGTTTTATTTCTTCCCTGACTTTTACTTTGTAGGTAACACAGAGAAGAGTGTGTGGGTTGTTCTGATTGCCTGTAAATGACTCGGTCACCTCTTTGTCTGCAGTTTGAATTGGGCTTAACCTATTTGGAGTTACTCACTGGGAGTGAAATGATGACCATGTTGTGCCCTAAATTACAGGCTGGAAATACCTGCACTGCTGAGCTGTGATGCAGATGCATTTTCTTCCCCATGTGTCCCCTTTGTTCTTTCATCGGTGTTGCAATGCAGGCTATGTCCCAATACTCAGTGTAGCCAGGCAGAGGTGAAAGGCAAGGTCTGATACAACCCTATGCCCATATTCTATCAAGGATGAATATTGTAGAAATACTTCCTTCTTTCTGTCCTTGCTTCTTCTGCATCACCACTAAAATCACAGATTCCAAGGGGCATGGAACAGGAAGTGCCATTTTGCTTTGTGTGCCTAAGAGAAGTAGCAATCTAATAGTCGCTTTTGATACAGATTTAAAAATTGCGTCTTCCCAATGAAGCTACACCCAAAAATTGTGGCTGTAATATATTTAGATGATTTAAGCTGCAGCTTTCTCAGTAACTGTAAAATTCTAATTGTTTGGCACTCTGGAGAACTGCGGAGTCCTGGATGTTGGGTTGATCCAACCTCAAACGTAAAATGTCAGATAGTCTACAATGATAGCCAGCAGTTGATGTATAGATATGGAGGAATTCATGCCGTGGTTCATCAGGACTTCCTACACAAGATTTCATTCTCAAAAAAAAATTGGTTTTTTTTGTCTGAGATGTTTGAGAAATTGTAGGACAGCAATAGAATTGTCAGTGCAAGTGTTTGTGAACAGAAATAGTAATCTGAAATGACTAACCTGGAATATCTGTTGTCTAAGTAGGATTTTATGTCCAGTTTAACTTCCCCCTGGCTTACATTTTCCATGTCTTGGTTTATACTTAATATTTTTTATACTTAGCCACTGGTTCCAACAGTTCATTCTTTAGAACAGCAGAAGAGCTTACTTAGTCCTTCATCTTAACTCATTTAGCTTCTCTGGCAATGGTAAACTCATCTGCCACTCAGAACAATCTGAGTTCTACAAAGTGAAAAGTTGAGTAGTTCCCTTTGTACAGGGCTGTTCTCTTTCTCAAAATTTAAGTATTTTACTCTACACTTGTGAACACTCTTGCACTCCTTCTAAAGAACAGTGCATCCAATTGTCATGGAAGTTCTCCATTGATCTTTTAAGGCAACCATGCAATATGCAGAGTTCTCTGAGCCAGCTCTGTAGCTAAACTGTACTGGTTTCTGCAAGTAAAACAGCTGATGTAGCTCAGTGTGCTGCTCAAGCTTCCTTACAAGCTTCCACAAGTGTTTGTGGGGTCACAATTAAAATGTGTTTTGGGATGTGAGCTGGTTTGAGACCCCTTGCAACCCTTTGTGTTATGGCAAATGGTTGGGAGCAGTGTCCTCACATACAACACCTACCCTGGGGCTAAGCCTGAAGGACAGATCACTGGGTGGGAATTTGTAGAGGCCTGTGTCCTATGATGCATGATGCTCACTGAGGTGATCCTGCCAGCTTTTATTTCGACTTGCTGTTACCAAAGAAGGCAATCTTTCAGCCAGTGGAGATTTTCAGCTACGGAAATCTGTGAGAGAGCTCAGCCACTTGCTGGATTTTAGGGCAGGTCACTTATTTGATCTGTAAATCTTGACAGCCTAAATGATGTTAAGTCTTTTTGGTTGAAAGCATGCACATAAGAGGTAAAGAGCGTTCACGCTCAGTCCTTCAGCACTCTTCACTTGGGAGGCCTCTGTGATGATCTGTTTCTTTGCTGGTATGGTGTGGCTGAAGACAGGCCATAGGTGACAGCAAAAGATGTAATAATTTGGGTGTCATAAAGCTTTAGATAGCTGAGAGGTGTTTAGTTAAAGCCCATTTCACTTTCCTTCATCTTGCTGGAGTTGCTCTTGGCTGTTGAGAAGAAGCATGCTGATACACTGAATGAGATTTCTTTTAAATACAGAAGAAAGGAAAAACACACCAGGATTGGGAATTAGGGAACAGTGCAGTGAAATTCAGTTTAATTTCTCTTCACCTGAGTTACTTTTGTAAAATCTAAGTGCTAATTCCCTGTTCATGTGAGATATAAAGCTGCTAACATATCTGCTGTAGCTGCAAATCCAAGTCTTTGAATACAACAAAGAAAATTAACAGTTTACAGTGAATTCATGCACCTCTCTTCTGATCTTGTTCTTTCATGCAGTAGTTAAACACACTGAATTCAAATCATGTACCATTTATTTCACTTTCTAAAAAACCTGAGCACTGAAAATCCTGTTTGCTCAGTACTGTGCAGAGGCAGAGGCTGTTTTTCTCAGGACTTCTAGGACTTTGAGTAACTGAATGGTCCAAAATATCTTTGTGGTTTCTGTGTCCTAAAAAGCAATAGGAAAACTAAAAACAGTCCTTGAGAAATTCTGTTTGTTTTTCGCTTGCCACACAGGAGGAATCCATGCACAAATCAGGAAGCAGCAGCAGCATCTCCCCCTCACAAGTGGAAGACCCCTCTCAAGAAGGCACCAGCAGCAGAAAGAGTGAGTTATGAGAGAGTCCAGTGGCTGCTTTTATGCACTTATGTTGTCTTCTGTGCTATGAACTTTTACTCAAACTTATATGGAAAGCTGAAGCTGAGTTCTGTCAATGGAATAAACTTCTAAAGCTGAACTCTGTTGAATGGGTCAAATGTGATAAACAGTTGGAAGGCATTCGCTTCCACTGTGGGTGGATATCTTTGTGAAACAAAAGGTTTCATCCTTGAAGTTTATATAGGACTGTCGAGGAAGTCACAAGTGAATGGAGGGGATTGCTTAGCTCGGCTCATCTCCTAAAATAACTTTTTGCTACTGAAGCATGTTGTAACCTAAGACCAGTTTAAATGTTTCCTCCATCTCTGCCACTGTGGCAGTGTTCAAAGGACCCTTAGCTATCACCAGTATTTCTCATAAACACTTACTGGGAAGAGGGAAAGATCAGGTCTTTTTTTTTCAGGCACAGTTATTGCAGGTTTTACTGTGTAACAATATTTTTCATTTGTTTCAAAGTGTCTCAGTTTCATTGGGAAGGTTTTGTAATGAGATGTGTAATCTGTACATGTGTTTTCTGTGCATGATGGTGAAATAAGTAGAATATCCTGAAACACTTCAGTATGGATATGTAACTTCAGCCACCAGTAGTAGGAATTCTAGCAAATCAGTGGCTGGATTAATTGCTGAGCAATGTTATCCAACAGTCTCTTGTAGAAGAACTAACTTTTTTGTACTGATTGAATTCTTAGTGCCTCCAAAGTTCTTGCCCATATCGTCTACGCCGCAGCCCGAGAGACGGCAGCCGCCTCAGAGAAGACACTCCATCGAAAAGGAAACACCAACCAATGTGAGACAGTTCCTACCCCCTTCAAAACAGAGCTCCAGGTCACTTGTAAGTGGAGTGGGTGGTAGGAGAGAGAAAAAGAGGAATGCTAAGAGTATAATAAAAATTAAAACTTGGCTTCAGTGTGATTAGAACATGACCCAAAGAAAACTCCTCAATTCAGAAACTCTTGGCTACTAAAGTTTTGAAAGTTTGAAAGTTTTGAAAGTTTTAAAGTTTTGAAATCAAAATTTGAACTTTGTACCTCTAACACATTTACCCAAAATCCCAGGTACAGGTTCCTCAGAAAACATTTGCACTGTGATTAGTACTCCGGGTAAACCACGTGTCTTGGTTTTTGTTTCAGAATGTTACCAAAACAGATGAACTTCACCTTACTGATATTCCACTTGAATAGAGACAATTCCAAAGCAGTGGATGTATTTTGGGATTTGGGAGAATTTTTTAGTTGTTGGAAGTATTGCAGTTAATGACTGGATGAATTGGAATGATTTCTTTTCTTCCCACCTTAAGAACTTGCCTGGTAATGTTTATACATATATATGAAAGTTCTTTCAGTAATCCAAATCAAGGTTTGTCTGTGTTGCTTTGTTGAAGTTACTGAGGCAAAACCCTGTATTACTGCTTGAAAAGAAAGTACAGTACATTTTATCAATTAGCTTTAATTGTGAACTGTTTTCCAGCAGAGTACAAGCACCAAAGGGTATAAAATCCTGGTTCGTTTATGCTGACATACTGATTAGTGCTTTGTAATTTCATGCAGGATATGTTCCTTGTCTCTTTTCCTACCAGCAGGGATTCAAAGTGTGCCCCATGAGGTGCTGGTGAATAGAGAAATCGATAAACACATCCGAGTTTTGAAAGGAAGGGAATATTCACTTGCCCTGTCTTGTAGTGCAATGGTATTAAAGGGCTTTGAAGAGTGTTTTTGTTGGCCCAAGAGATGACAGATGGGATCCAAACCTATTAGAAGATGAAGCTGATCAGTTACAGGAAAAATACCTCCATATATTCCCACAATGGGCTTTTCCTTTTCAGAGGTCTGCTGGATTTTATTACATCCTTCCAAGTAGAATGCAGTTTCTCATTCCAGGCACACATCAGGTAGTAACATGTTGATAAGTGCACAGCCCAGGTGGACATCTACCAAAGTGAACTTGGAGCAGGATGTATTGCAGCAGACCTATGCTGAAGGGCACCTTCAGCATGTGTTTGAAGTCACTGTCACATAAAACGGGTTTCCCTGTCACCTCCTGCTGCACTCACTGTATGTAGAAACCCAGACTTTATTTTCTGATAGGCCCAGAGTTATTCACAGACAAATAGTTTAAAGGGAGCAGGGGAGAAAGCATTCTGTGTTACACTGAGACATTTGCTCCATCACACTTCTAGTGTATCTGAGTTTGCTCATCATAATATTAATCTCTTGTATTTCAGAGGATCATGCAACTTAAAATCTTATATGAGGCTGTTATTTTAAATAGGTCAGCCAAGTTCTTACCAGGATCTTCTTGACCACATACGTACTCTCCCTCTGCTGGTATATTCATTGACATATGCCTAGAAAAATACATTGAAAATAAAACCACTGCAGAAAAACTAATTCAATTATTCCGTTCCCCCTGAAAAATACTAAAGGAAAAGGGAGAAAAAGGCATAAGTCAGGCTAATTTGGGAACAGATGGGAAAGGTTTTACTAGTTTATTTTATGCTTAGGGGGATTTTTTTGTTTGTTTTGGTCTTTTTATTTTATTTTTTTTTTTAATCTCTAGAGAACTGTCACCTAGCTTGGTTTTGACTTTGAAGTGAAAAAGAAGGAAGCCAGTAGTGAAATGATGTTCTGTTAATAAAAACCTATTTTATTTGATGCCTAGAGAGCTAATTCTTTAACTTGGCAATAGTGCCCTCTAGGGTGTGACAAACACCTCCCTCAACAGTCTTGTTTTTCATTTTGGGAGATGTGTTCTGCTATGCTGGCACTGGCCCAGTTCCACACTTCGGCTTTCTGCAACTCCCTCCTTTCCGGAGCGATGCCAACCTCTTCCAGTGGCTGTGCCAGATGTTGCACCTGTGAAATTGCCATTCCCAGAGTGAATGCTTCTCAATGAGTGCAGAGTATTATTTATTTTTTATTTGACCTCACACTTCTTTATTGCTTCCTCCAGGATTGATGGAGTTTCATTTCTTATCACCAGCTCCTGTGACCCTGGTTTCTCTCCAAGGTGAAAGAGGCCTTGTCAGTAAATAGCTGTCAATGCCAGTGAAACCAGGCAGGGGTTTGCTACAGTCTCTTAGCAGGATTAGCAAGAAACTGCTGTCTTGCATACTAACGATGGTTTTGTGAACTGGCATCTCATCAGACAGAGGTAGTTAGACCCAAGTAGGTGGGGAGGGGAAACAAGCTTGGAAAAGTGCCAAATACAGTCCTTTTGACATGCCACCCTGCCAGTGCTACATGGAAAGGCAGGGTGGCTCAGTGATTGGGGGGGGGTCAGCCCTGGTGGTTGCTGTAGTGAGCTGATTTGATGCTTAATCAGTTAGATCAGTTCAGTGTCCTGAGATTTACATGTGGGTGCCTTTGCAGTCTGTTTGCTCCTTTAATTATTATTTTTATTATTACTTTTTTTCATGACCCAGAGGACCAAAGCTAATGGTTTCATTTATACACAGCATTCGCTTCTCTGCTTCCTATCTATTGTTCAGGTTCCTAGGATAACCAGTTTATTTCCAAGGATGACTTTCAGACCACTTTTTTCAACTATGCAAACAGCTTCTCTGCTCAGCTCTCATCCCGTTGAAGCAGCCATGTGTGGGGTGGCAGGGGCTATGTACTATCTCTGTGAGAGAGCTTTTGCCAGCAGGTGGAAACCCGCAAAGGTTTGCCTCTTTTCGCTGGCTTTGGAAATCACTTTCACCAGCATGTTCCCTCCTTGGGGAGCACTTCCTCAGCTGTGGCAAGAATTACAGCTTAGGCTGGGACATTGCACCTGATTGACTTTGATTTCAATGTGTGTAGGATATTTGTGTGTCTTCAATCACCTCACGGGGAAAAGAAATCAGTTCTGAAAGGACAGCAAACTAAAAATGCAACATCACCAGATTATCAATGGGACAGACCTTAAATATTACAGCACATGAAGATCCTGCAGCAAAAAATCCATCAAAACTATTGTGATGCTTGGACTATGTTGAAAAGGATAAGGTTTTATGTTTCTCCCAAGGTACACTACATAGAATGGGAGGGCATTTGTAATCTGCTTTACTTGAAAACCTACATACTGTTTTGGTTCTCAGTACACTTATGTGTCAGAACTTGCAGAATAGTTCATATCCATCTATCAGGGAAGGCAAAGCCACTGAAAAGAATAAGTAATTCATTTACCCCTATGTTAACTGAACATGAATTATTTCATTTTTTCTTCTGTTTGTTGTTCTAACCAATAAGTGGGAGGGTGAAACCTCTTGTAGGAGAATTTATAGTTGAGATACCCAGCTGATGTTTTAGAAACTTTTAGTCTGCAAAAGGAGCAAGAATTTAGAGTGCCTGACTAATTGTGAGTTGCAGAATTTAGAGGCCACTCTGGTGCTCATTCATTTTGCAATTTACTAATGCAACTCATTTGAATGTCTAGTGACATCCTTTAATGAGAAGAAGGAATACATTAGAGTAAAAATGTGTTAGTCATAAGAGCCCATTAGGTGTGTGTACACTGAGAATGACCTACAAAGCACATTATGGATATGCAATTCTTACTACCTGCTTTTCCTGCATAAAAAAAAATATATATAAATGCCTTAAGCTATAGTGTTTATAAGATGATTGCATAGTCAGTGTTAAGCCAGTCCCCAAGAGGATCATGGAAACTTCATATTCAAAATAGTATTTTCAAATAGTATTTTTTCCCCTCTAAAAATAAGCATACTGGCTTGTGTTTAATATTATAAGGTGTATTGAGTAAATTCTGTAAATTCAAGACCATTCAAATCACATTTTGTCTTTACCATGTTCTGTTATGCGAGTATTGCAGAGAATACTCTCACTTGGAGCTGCTGAATTTGGGTGCAGGCTATTGTTGGAAGTTTGAGCAATAACTCCAAAGCATCATTGTTCAATGAAGTTTAGCCAGTGCTTAGCAAAATTTAATTAATTTCAATGCCTTAGAGGTAGTGTAGAAACAAGAGATTTTCTTGTTTACTTATTTATATTCTGAAAAGGGAAAAAAAAACAACAAACCAAGCAGTTTTCTGAAATGGGATTATTTATCTTTCATTTAATGTTGCATTAACATTTTGTTGTCCTTGTGTAACCACTGGAATTAAAACATTAGCATTTAAACATGTGAATATTTTTTATGTTTCCCCTGCTGCCTGCTGGCTATTTCTATATTTTAATGGTATTCATTTTCAATTGGTATGACAACAGGCCCACACTATTCCCCTAGTACATTCTCACACCTATAGCAGATCTGCAGAATTTCTTCAAAGGAGCAATATTCCCCGACGTCATCCTTCTGTAAATTAAAGGAATGGGCATTCATGAGGGGGAAGGAAGAGCTTCAAGTAAGAAATGTATTTCTAAAGGACTTAAAGCTCTGGTTGATTGCAAGCATTCAGTCAGCCTCATTCACCTCAGAGAGTTTCCCTCATTCTCCCACGATGCAGACTCGGGGGGTTTTGCTGGCATTGTGTGCATCCCGCTGTCCCACCCACTTCCTCTCCAGTGCCACCCCAGCCTTCAGCCATGCCTTCCCCATAGCAAGGCAGTTGCTATGGGAAGAACCCAGAACGAAATGCTGAGAGCTGCTGGTTAGCTGTGAAGTTGCTCATAAGGAACAGAAGATACTTTGTTTTGGCTGCGCAGTTTTACACCTCAAAGCAAATTGCAGCTGTTTTTGATGTAGTTGTTTTTTTTCCAGAAAACTAGTGTTCTTTACCCTAAAGGTTTAGCTGGCAAATCTAACAAAGTTAACTCAATTCTAGTCTTTTGTGGGGTACCCTAAACAGAGTGAAGTTTCTTTGTGTTCCCTTTCTAGATAGGTAAGACAACAGTTTTTAAAAATGTGGTGGTTCCTAAATGCTAATGTTTGCCAGGTCTGCAACGTAGAAAGATTTTCTTTTTAATCTGATGGAAAGACAGAACAGACCTCTGAGTACATGGAAATGGAGCATTTCCGTACTAATCCGATTCATCACTTCAATTTGTAAACGAGATCTCCAAACTGTCAGCCACGTCTTTGTGTATGCAGGAGAAATTTCCTTCGTTTATTCAGAGAGCATTGCCTGTCATTGTCATTACTGCACAGTAGCCCCTCTGGGCTGACTGAAAAGGTTCACTAAGCATTAAGCAATGGGAGTTCCCACAGAGGTTTCTGTCTTTCTTTTGGAAATGTATAATCAACTGCTGGGCTGGATTACAAATTGGGTTGGTGCTTTTTATTCCCTGGTACCAAATTCAGGAGTTCTGCACTCCGTATTCTCCTAAATGCTGCAACACAGAACAGATGCAAAATTTTCTAAGTGGAAAGTTGTACTGTTAATTCTCTGTTTGAGTCTTTGCCATTTATAATGCAACACTGGGTAACCAGTTCACCTGCTAGATACTGGAACATTACTCTGTAAAGCTTAAATTGCTGCTGTTACCTTCTGGAGCAGAAAGGAGAACTTTTTGGCCTGAACTTATGTAACTTTTTATAGTCTTGGTGTGATTCTGATCATGTGAGCACCAAGATGTGGTACCACTGAATAAAAATTTCTGCTAGATGGGCTACTAACAATTTTCCTTGGCCACTCTGGGCATCACGAAGCCTCAGAGAAATTGTTTGATGTATACCTCAAACAGTATACAAAAAATATGCTATCTGCCATATTACATTTTCCCTTTCAAAATATAAGTCTGAATGTTGATTGGCTTGAAACAAATGTTCCTAATAAAAGACAAATGGAGAGAAGGATCAAGTGATTTAGGGAGGAAGGATGAAGAAAATTGTCACTGTTGTGAAGGTTGAACATAAGACCATTTACATCACACTTATGCAGCTTCCAATGGTTTGGCACTCATGTGATGCCCATGAATGAGCCAGTGCTATTCCAGTTTGATGGGAGAACCCCCCTGTTCCTGGAGTTACTAACCAGGTGGCTGGATGTCTAAGGTGAACTCCGGATGAAGGCGTTTGTCTTTGAAATAATATGGGGGTTTTGGCTTCCAGGAGGAGTTCTGTTACCCTGTGGAATGTCTGGCTCTGACAGTGGAGGAGGTCATGCACATCCGTCAGGTGCTTGTGAAGGCGGAGCTGGAGAAGTACCAGCAATATAAAGATGTCTACACTGCTCTCAAGAAAGGAAAGGTAGGACTGAGTAGTCTGGGGAGGCTCTGAAGGGTACTGAGAGATGCCAGTTTCACAAGCCTCCCATTTATACATTTGTTTCTTACCCTCTACTGGGGAGAAAGAAGAATTATCCACCAAAGATCCCCCTAAATGTGTGACACATGGGTCAACTTCTTTGAACGATGTCCAGAAATATCAGAACTTTTCATGGAAACACCTTGTTTGTTCGGATTGTCTATAAAAATGCACTAGTGTTTGCAATTATCAGAGTGTATCTGTATGTGTCTGGTTAGAACTTCACTGACTGAGGTGATTTCTGTCCCCATGCCTTCTGTAGGTTTGGTTACTTTTTCTGTTCCAGATAATAGAATTACAAATAGCAATGGAAAACTACATGTTTTTAATATGTGAATCCTTCACCATCAAGCACAGAGGGAATTAAAACCTTCAGAGAAGTGATGCAACACCTGACTCCAGAAGGAGGTTTAATATTAGAGAACCCTTAACTTAATGCATTTTTCTGTAAACTGCAGAATGGAGATTGGTATTCCCCAGTAGAAGCAGCATCCTTTTCTCCCACTTTTGATTTGTGCTTCTTGGACACCTCCAGGAAGTCTGTTTTGACTTCACTGTGCATTTTACCTACTTACCTTTGTCTAGTGTGCAGATTTATTTTATAGGTTTAATACATTTAAGGCAGAGGAACAAGAATCTTATAATGTCATTCATTAAATTCAGCTGTTGCCTGTTGTCATGATATATAAAGCTTAGTAATGAGCTTTTATCAAATCTCAAAGTAGGTCGAGGCTTTAATTAATTTACCCCACTATTAAAATAGTTTGCTATTATTTCTAACCAAAATTATCTAGTTAATGGGCAAGTATTTAATTTAGGCAAAACAATCAAAGGCCTATTTCTAAATATATGAAGATACAATTCTGGATCTTGTTCTCGATATCATCTTAGAAGTACAGACCCCAGAACTGGATGTAGCACTGCCACTGTGACCTTGCCAACAACAACTGGTCTGTGAAGTCATCACTGTGTGGGACTTTGCCTAACACTGTGGATTCCTCTGTTCTTTTTCCTCTAGCTCTGCTTTTGCTGTCGAACAAGAAGATTTTCTTTCTTTACCTGGTCTTACACTTGTCAGTTCTGCAAGAGGTAAGTATTTTATGTCTGCTAATAAATGAGTACAATTTCATAGGGAAAATTATTGATTTATATGTTAGAAACCCTCAAAAATTTCTGCTGTATACAACAGTAGTTGATTTGGTCTATTTCTGTAACAGTCTGTGTTAAAAAAACTATGCAGAAACATTTAGTTTGTAAGTGACTGAATTGCTTCCTTGGACTGAAACTCTGGACTAAAAGTGAGAGAAGCATTTTTTTTTTTTTTTTTATGCTTATGAGAAAGCAAGATGGAGTTTACTCAGACTCCTCACTCAACAGTTCTACAACCTCTGTGTTTGGGGAAAACATTTCAAGGCAATTTACTTTTTGGGTTATTTTTTGGGTGTTGGTGAGATGCAAGAAGAAATATTTGCAGGCAAAATGATAAATTTTAAGTTAACAGTGAGACAATAAGTCAGAAGATCTATGTAATCACTGAGTTTTGGTCTCACCAGAAGATGTTTCTCTAGAGGAAAACCAGCTTATTTTCCTTTTTTTTTCCTTGTTTTTTAATTTAGGTGTAGTTCTTGTTCAGCATTTCTCCTTGCTTCTGGGTTCATGTTCTGAGTGAAGTTACTATGTTGGAGAAGCTTTAAAAATAAAAATGTTTGTTTAAGGGGGGGACAGAGAGGGGCAGGTTTCCTGAAACCCCTTATTCTTGATTTAAACGTAATTTTTCCCAATGGATTGATTCATGCTTTTGCTTTTTTACACAGGCCTGTATGCTCACAGTGTTGCAAAAAAGTAAGTAAGGAAACTTCAAGTTTCAAGCCTTTCTAAAAAGCTTCAATCTTTGTAATGATGCTGCATGTGCCTTGTGCTGTTCCCAACAGATGCGGCTGCCATCAAAGCCATATTCCACCCTCCCCATCTTCTCCCTGGGACCTTCAACCTTGCAAAAGGGAGAAAGCTTCATGAGGCCAGAGAAGCCCTCTACCAGTCACCACCATTCCCTGCGGAGCAGGTGAGAGACAGCCCGGCCTCACTTGTGTCTGTTGCAAATGTTCCCCAAATGTTTCATGCTGGGCTATCAATCACGAGGATGCCGCACACCTGTTTTGTAGCTGGCCATGTTTCTAATGCCTGCAGTAACTTTCCTGAAGCCTGAAAAGCCTGGTCTCTTCTAGTCGTTGCTTTGATGCACAGAAATAGCAGCCTATCAGTCTCTTAAACCTTTTTCACACTACAGCTGCAAAATAATGAGAGTCTGGGGCAATTGTATTTCTGTAGGTCCTCTGAGAAAATATCTTTAACATGTCTTTTTCTGGTCTGAATGGACTCTTTGCAGATAAACCTTGCAGGCTGCAATCACCCACTGAATGCAAATTCAATGATGTCTACTGCACAGATCTTCTTTTCTCCTCATTTTAATTACTCCAATTTTCATAAATTTTTCACTTTAATATTATGAAGTTATCTGTTGGTTTTATATTTTATACACAGATGGTTGTCAAAGCTAATCCAAGAAATTAAATATAAAAGAAATGCTCCTTTTTGTGGGAATCTGCTGTATAAACCCTCTGCATAAATCGCCATAAAGCACCATCACTATGGTGCTGTGTAGATTAGCCAAAGACATCAGCTATTTTTAGTTACTAGTAAGGTTGTTTTTGCCAGGATGTAAATGTTACACACGCCCTCAGTCAGCGACCCTGCAATCTTGCCAATCCAGGCAGAAGCTGTCCTCTCCAGTATTTGGTGTAATTTGGGACAGGAGGAAGGAAAATTTAGACCTCTCTGATGTGATCTTTCCTCGGGCTTATAGCCAAGCTGACAAATAATGTGACAGATCCTGCTCTTTTGCCTTTCAGGTTGACCTCAAGGTCCAAGTCTGTGGATAAGTCACACGAAGAGTTTCCCAAAGAATTAATGGAGGACTGGAGCACAATGGAGGTTTGCGTGGACTGCAAGAAGTTCATCTCAGAAATCATCAACTCAAGCCGGCGCAGCCTGTCTCTGGCCAACAAGCGAGCCAGGTTAAAAAGGAAAACGCAGTCCTTCTACATGTCATCACCAGGAACCTCGGAGTACTGCCCCTCAGAAAGGACGATCAACGAGATCTGAGCCGTGTGCCTTCTGCTTTGCTTCCGTCTCCATGAGGTCATCATCCATGAGCGAGGTCACTGGAACCGGATTGTCACCCATTGCTTCGTTCCACTTGACTGGCTTGGGTTTGCATTCCATCACAGGATTTCCTACTCCAGCAGTTCCCAGAGACACAGAGCGCTGTGTTTGGATCTGTGTAGGGTGATACACGACGGGTCAGCTGCTCACGCTCGGAGAAAATCAATAGTTTGAAATTGTTGCCTCTTTTGTATGTGTGCGTCGAAATGAGAAAGGCTTTTCTTGCTTTCAGTCTTTTTTTAACCATGCTTTGAATCATTTTTCAGGAGAGGAGCTGAGAGCAGCTGTGTGATGGAGAGCCAGGTCTAGCACAGTGTCAGTGTTAGCGCAGTAGCAAGCAGTAGGTCCTGCTGCATTCCCACCCTCGGAATGCTGACGCCCTTGCTGAGGCAGCCAAGGGCCGTGTCACTCACCAGCGTGAGCAGCTCCGGTCAAATCCATCTTCCTTTGAGCCATTTTGGTTGCTCTGAGATCAGGGTTCAGCACGGGACTCTACAGTGTCCTGGGGCAAAGCAGGTGACAAAGCAGGTGACAAAGCTCCTCGCCCGTGTGGTCGGTTATACCCCTGAGCTGCTGTACTTCTTAAGCCTTAGTGTCCTTCTGAGTGACTCCTGAGCAGGTTTTAGTAGTTTACTTTCTATCTTGAATGTATGATAATGACTACTAGTAGCAGTGAATTTTAGTAGTAGACAAAGTTGTACAGTTTATGGGGAGGACGGGAAATAAGGGAGGCTTCTAATTTTAACTGAATACCTGTAACTTTGTTCTCGTGGTTACTCAGAGAAAGCAGTGAGCAAGGTGTAAATTTGTATTATAATGGAGCACACAGATACTGCTATAGTTCTGTCTGACAGCATATCCACTAGTAACCCCATTTTTTCTGGGGTTTGTAACTTGGCTGTAAAAATTCGTGTTCTGCTGAAATTTGGGACGGTGCTCTCTCAGATTGGGAGCGATCTCTCTTTTTTTTCTGTAATCTTTTTTTCATTCTTTCCCCCCTTTTAATTCACTCACAAGGGAGTGCTAGACTAATTGTTTAGAAGTTCCAACAATTTTACATTAACTGACATCTCATGCTTTTTTGCACTTTTTTTGATATTCAAAATACTTTTTTTTTTTAATTCAGTCATAGCCAGAGTTTAGTCAATAATTTGGGCCAGATCTTTTTGGTATTTAAAAACAAGCTAACATAGCCAAGTTATTAATACTTGAAAATCAACTACTGTAACTTTTTTCATAAATTTTTTAATACCCTGAGGCATATTTAATATCTATATAGCAGTGTATTATAGAATGACATAGCAGAAAAGTTTCAGATCTATTTATTAACATTTCTATACTTCGAGTTAATGAGAGATACCTCAGAACTGCTCCAAAGTAGCTGGGACTGGACTTCCATAACATAATTTTAAAAGTGAATTAACCAAAACAGCTTCCTCTGTCCAAGAGACAGACTGCCCCTCTGGCCCTGGCAAGGCACAGTGCCCAGGCTGAGAGGCACCAGGGCTGCTTGGCTCCCATTTGGCAGCCTTTGGAGCAGCCATCCATATCGTTTCTTTTAGGCTGATTTGAAAAGCACATGCAAAAGTCTCTGTAAACCTTCCCAGGGAGTCAGCCATCCTTATTTTTTGTTAAAAGGCCCCTTGAAAAATGAGAATTTTTGCATATGTAGGGTTTATTGAAATAGTTTCGATTTTTTTTCTGAACCAATGTGAACAGGAAAAGCAGGGCTCAGTGCTAACTCTCCCTCCTTGCTGTCCCGTGTAAGGTCAGGTGTCACAGCCCTCTCCTCATGGTACTTCTGGAAAAGTGTCTAGCCTGTTCAGGCACCTGGAGTACTGGCATGAGATAGGGATGTGGGATTGCAGGGGAGCAGCACAGGCTGGCTGGTGGGAAAGGTTCTGCTGTTGCTGGAAGGGTCTCCCGATCTCAGTCACATCAGCACTTTTTCTTGTTTCTGTGCCAAAACCAGGCCGTGTGTTTGCTGCACAGTGCACCAGGGAAACCAGAGGGAAACAAATGCAGGAAATCTCACTTTGCATCTGCCCTGTTGTTGTCATGATTTTTTCATGGAGATGCCCTGGCCATGTTACAGTCACACAGTCCTCTGCTCACAGTCTGCTTCCCTGGTGTCCTCACGCCACCGAGGTGCAGAGCATCCAGCACATTTATTTTCCTCTTGGAGAGGAATTTGGGATGTTGTAGAGCAGGCAGGATGAAGGACTAAGTAACTCCTGAGTCTACAAAGGCAAACAAGTCCTTCATAGGTGTGCCCTGCTCCACTCTGGCAGTGTCTAGGGGTGGCTCTGGGGCAGTGACAGAGCCCTGTGATCCGGCCTGTGCCTTCCCAGAATTCCCACAAGTCCTTGGCTCAGGGCAGGCTCTGCTGTGCTGGGCAGGGAACAAACACTGAAAAACAATGCAGTGGTTGTACAGATGGCTCCCTGTAGCTCACAAAAAGCTGCCATGGGCCAGGGCCTGGATAACCTCTCTTTTTCCCTGGAAAAAACCCTCCAAGCTGCTGACACATGCTGTGGCAGGCTCCAGAAGACATGGTGTGAAGGGCTGCCGCTCCTCCTCGCTCCATCCCTTCCTCCCTGGCACAGCTGCTCCGTCTTTTCCTGGCATTTCATTCCGCAAGAGGAGAAGCAGCGGGTTGGTTCATCGTGGAAAGCCTAAAGGAGCTCAGCTCGCTGGTTGCCTGGCTCTGCAGAGTGGGCTATTTTTAGCTTTCCATCTCCTCCCTGCCTGCACCAGCATCCCAAATCCACTGCAGCCATTGGCCCAGCACCCCGTGGTGCTGCCCAGCATGTCCTAGTTACGGGCTGAACATCACGTCAGCATCGGAGGGGGAAATCAGAAGCTTGTAAATATCTGTAATATATTTATTAATATTTAGGGAAGTCTCCATCAATCATGCAATGGGAATTGACTTTCCCATGATGTTCTAAAAAGAAAATGAGTCTTATTTATATGTGTGTTGGCTGTTATCTTTTATTAGAGTTAATGCTTTCAGCCCCCTAATACAGTTTGCACATCTTAGAGAGAATTACTGCTGAAAAGAACACGGCAGTAGCACAGTGAACTCCGTTCCATGAATTTTAAAATTATTTTCTTCTGGGTTTTTTTAGCTTTATTAGTATGCCCAAGGTCTGTCAAAATATGTCATAGGAGACCCAAGGAGCTAAAAATGCCTCTGGCAGCATCAGTCTTGTTTTGTATGTGAACCTGGTTGTGGGGAATGCAAAACCAGCTCTGCCTCACAGCACTGATGGAAGATGTGAGCAGGCTTTTGCTACAGCTCTCAGACCTGACCTTTCAAGTGTTCATGGTGACAGTAGTGTTTTGAGGGGTTGTTGGGTTTTTTTTCCCCTTTCTCCATTACTTCCTTTATACAGGGAGGGGTGTTACCTGGTAAAAATAAAATGCCTTTCCATTATAACCCTTGTCTGTGTTAATTATTCATGGGGAAACTGATTTAAAGGTTCTGTCTCTCTCTCTTTCATGCTTTTATAGTTTTGTAAGATCAGTCAGATGTTTCTTTTGGCAAAGAATTGTTAACAAAAATGATTGCATAACAGCTGAACACTGTCTGGGCTGCATGAAGGGATGAAAACCTGTCGAAGTACCCTTAGAATAGCAATAAAAACTGCTTGTGTAACCCCAGTGATGTGATTAGCTCCTCGTCATCACCTGCAGCCAACTCCCTCTGTTACCAGTGTGTTGCTTCTTCCAACACTGGCAGGCTGTACCCGAGGCAGCACATTTGTCCTGCATGTAATACAGGCTTTGGGAAATGTCCATCCCTCCCTCATCATTGGGAGAGAAATGCTGACAGTCTTTCAGAGAGGTTTTTGATGGATTTGGTTTAGCTTTTAAACCAAAAGTGGAGAGAATGATATTATCACAACTCTTACATCTTTCTCTTCTCTCCTGAGCATCCCTTTTTCCCTAGTCAAGTTCAGCATCAGCTTCCCTGGTTCATTACTGGCTGCATGCTCTATAGGTTAAAACTTACTTAGAACCTCCAGCTTTAAACTCCTGATTGCTACCTTCCTGCTTCACTTCATCCAGAAGCTCTGCACAACTCTTAGGAATGTCTGTCTTAGAGCTCAGTCTCATCTGTGAAGCAGTGACAGCACACAGGCATGAGAGAAAGGTGCTGCAACTCTACACTGGTGCTACAGCACATGGATTATGTTCATGTTACCAGAAAATTTTATACTGTTGCCATGTTGATAACTTGGAGCTGCTCTGGTTTATTTCTTCTTTTGTGTATGTATATTTTAAGGCCAGTCTGAGAATGTTTATGAATACCAATTCCAGCTGTAGAAACCTCTTTCATTGTTCCTGTCTGATTTTTACTACTGTGTTTCAGATTTTCTGGGTACCTGAAATTACTATACCCCAGAACTTTCTTGTAGGAGAACCATGACTGAGGGCCATGAGCTCAGCCTGATGTGATACACAAAGCCACAGAACTCCTGTGCTGAGTGGCACCTGTGAGCTCCAGCAGCCCAGAGCAGAGGAAGCCTGGGGCCTTCCCTGTTCCCTCACCTTGACATTGAAAGATCCTAGAGTTTCCCATGTTGCTCAGCTGCCCTGGCACAAGCTATGAGCTGCTCCGTGTCCCCAACTGCAAAAAGATACTTCAAAGTGGTTAGAAACGGTTTAAAGAATTTTGAGAGCTGCTGCTGAAGAGCTGAGTGCTCAGTGTCAGAACTGAAAGGATCCTGCAGTGCAAGTTTCCATCTGCTTTCAGTACTTGAAAATAATTAGCCCTACTTCCAGGTAGGAGAAAAATTCCAGAGAGGTGAAACTTTACAATACTTAGACAAGCAAAGACTTGTGAATGAATTTTTCTATGGTAGGTCTGCACTCAACAAATGTCATGGGGCATAATCAGGAGATGGAACTAAATAGATATAAAATTGTATGCAGTAGTAGCTTAGTTTGTTTATTTGCAATAAATCAATTCAGTAATGTTCCAGTTTCTTCCCTGGACAGGCTATTTTGCAGTGGCAGTGCCGAACTGAGTGTCAGATGTGAGGTAGCCCAGGCGCTGTGTCCTGAGATAACGGGAGCTGCTGCCATCTGCAAAGGTCAGCGAGATGGCTTCTGTAGAACATTTCTAGAGGAAGCCCTCTGGAACAGACCCTTCAGAACAGTCCTTATTACAGCTAATTAACAAATACATTTGTAAGCAGATTGTCTTTCAAGGTGCCATGCCGCTACTGTAAACTCACAGCTGAAAAGGACCTGTTTGATTATTGATACATTTGATTTTAAAAAAATCCAACCCATAAGAGCACCTGTTTGATTATTGATACATTTGATTTTAAAAAAATCCAACCCATAAGAGCACTCAGTATGAAAAAAACATATTCTTGGTCCCTCCAATGCAGCTGAAGGTGTTTCCACTAAGCTCTCTGCACTGCTCTACCCAGTGACACCAGTGCTTAGAAATGGGAGCCAGCAATGCTTTGGCTTTTGCAGGATGGGCCCTGGGCCAGACAGCGCAGTGTGGGATTTTTAAACTGGATTTCAGAAACTACTAAATCTAGAATTAAAGGACATGGGCATGAGCTGATGTAAAGTCTGCAGGAGGTGGGTTTCCAAAGTTTGGTGGAAGTAAGCACCAGTTCAGCTGGCACAGATCTATAGAGAGGCAGCACTCTCATGTCCCAGCTTTCAGGAGAGACAGAGCCCAAGGCCCAGCTTCAGTTGAGGAGGTTTTAACATGGGCATGTTACTATTGAAGGGCTGGTGGTTACACTACCTGTGAATCAAAAGCAAAATGAAGATAATGAGAAGGGGCTTTGAGCTGTATTTCTGTTAAAGCTGGTTCCATCTCCCTAACCCCCTTCTTTTATTAAAAAAAAATCCCAAATAGGAGCTGCACTTTTTGGACATGAACAGGCCTAAAGCACAAACCCTTCCCCTCTGAGCTTCCCCTGCTTCTCTGCTGTCACTGTGCATGTACCGTCTGCGCATCTTCAGGGACACCAGGGGCATCATCTCTAACAGCGAAAGGCAACAGAACTGTCTTCTGCTTGTTTCCATGTTACGTGGTACTGAAATGCAATTTCTTGTTTATGCATTACTAATAAAAAGCTCTTTAAAATTACTGCATTACTCTCGCCTTCTTGAGGGAACTGTGAATACCACAGGCACCATTTCTTACAAAGCACAGCTGGCAAGGCCCTGTTCCACATTTGTTTGGCCAGGCAGAGCCCTGAGCCTTAGGTGCTGCAGATATTAGCAAGGTCAGAAACAAAATTATAGCAAAGTAAAAGAGAAGGTATTGTACCAGCAGGGCTCCACATTAGGAGCCCTGTCTGATCATTTCACTTGCAGGTGCCTTCCAGTAAAATGAGAATCATACCTCAATCACCTCAGCTGTGGAAAAATTAAAAGGACAGGACTTGTGTTTCACAGAAATACCTTCTCATTGAACAAATCCATAGTGAAAGCATGACCTGCTCCCTGGAGCTGTGATTAAAAGGCTTAGCCCATAACCTGCATGATTCTGACAGGTGGCAAGTAGTGTTGGTGGGGTAGGAAGGTAGTTTATTAAGGTCTTATTTACAAGTCAAGGCTAGTCATTTTAGATGAGTCTTTCCTGTTCTAATGCAAAATGAAGCAGCTGCCAGTCCCAAATGGGGTTACCAGTCCAGGCCCAGAGGACCCCTGCAGAGCTTTTGAGCAGTTTGTGGCTTACAGCAAGCTCCAGGGAGACTGGTACTGGATCCTGGTACTGGATCCTGCTGCCTACTAAGCACAGACTAATGGAAATTATTTTTCTCAGCTTTCTCAGAAAACCAACAGCATAATAGGTATTACCATAGTCACACCCAGAAGTGTTTTTCTAAACTGCACATGGGATTTATTTTGGATAGCACCACATGGTACATAGACACTTTACAGCCCTGGCCTTCACAGCTCTCACTCTAGGGAAGTGCAACTGTAGGAATGGTGTTGCCTACCCACTGCTCCACCTGAGGATTTGAATGAAAAATGTCTCAGCAAGGAACATGGCTGGTCATTTACTCAGTGCTAAGTTATTACATTGTTAGTACATCAGTGCCCAGACTGTGCTCTGCAGCGGTTCCTGACACCACCTGCTGCAGCTCAGTGCCTTTGCTTACTTTAAGCAAAACTTTCAATAATACGGGAGCTTTCACTAGGATTGCCTGTTGTCCCAACAAATAAAACCCTTCCTCCATTGTGCCTGCTGACCTGATGGAGAAAAAGAAATAAGAAGCATTGGGGGGGAGCATGGAAGACTCACACTGACACAAGGCCAAATTAAGAAAAAGACAGGATAGTCCAAACAAACCAAATTAATTACACACCAGACCATTTGACTACCCTGTTTTACATTAATACCTTTTGTTGCTAACATGAGCATGCACCAGCACAAAAACTAGACATCAACCAGACGCCAAGTCTACTTTGAGTGTGAGATCTTCAACATCTTGAAATCCTTCAGGGCCAAGAACCAAAATGCCCAGTTTGCCACGCTCTGGGAACCACTGCTGCTCTCTTCCCTAGCTGCTTCCCCTGCAGTCAGGAACCAGCTCTTCCCAGCTTCTTCCTTCCACAGCAGGCCTAGGTGTTGCAGCTGTAGGGATGGGGAGAGCAGCCACACTTCTATCCAACATGGAGACCTGGTGCCAAATTCTTAAAATCCAACCACCTCCCTACATCACACTCCATTTTCCTTTAACTGCAACCCAACAGCTGAGAAGCACCAAACTGCAGCTTGAACTGCTGCAAACAACCTCCCTCTTACAACTCACAAAACCCAACTTCAGTTCCCCTTTCAATTCTCAAAGTGCAGATTTCAAGATGGCACTTGCTATCTGTTAATCAACACGGTTACAAGCACTGAGCTTTCTTCTGCTCGGCCCCCAGCACTTCAAAATCCCTCCAAGTAAATCAGCACTGACTTGACACCATATCTGTTCTACACATTTTTTTCCACCTACGTATCCTTTCCCTCCTTCTGCTCCAATCCCAGAAGCTGTGGTCTTCTGCTCCCACAAGCAGCCTAACACTTCCCTCACATGCAGCTTTCTGTCTTTGAGACGCTTCAATCAATGCATGTGATGTAAAACTGACTTCAGAAATATTTTTTAGCCATTTCCAGTAAAGAAAGAAAAGATGGATGGAATTCTCTAGGGAGCAACAAAATTAGACAATTCCAAAGGCAGGGTTTTTTTTTTGCCTCAAGGGCACCTCAGTCTGTAACAGTCTATGAAGTGGAATGGGAATTGGGATGCTTCCAAAACAGTGTTATGCACAGCACAGACAGGTAGAGATCCCACTGGATCCCATCGATCTGACCAGTCACATGGCCAAGGGAGAAGTTGGAAGGCCCATATGCCAACAATAAGGACAGAGAGCAACAATAAGCCCAGGAAAGCTTATAGGAAATTAAGAACCACTTCATCTGCTGAACACTGGAGCCTACCTGGTCCCAGTGTGACCCACTGCAAGGTCCTTTGTACACAGTGGCAAAATGAGCAGCCACAGGAAGATCAATAATCCCATGGATGCACGACTGGCACCTACCCCTAAAACGAGAGGGACAGAACAGGCCTCCAAAAGAAATTTGTCTTTTTCCTACCCAAAGCTTCCCCGCTCTCCTTTAGCCTAGAGAACAGCAGGAGAGGGCTGAGCACAAGTAGGAAAGGTGCTGATGCCTGCCAAGTGGAGCAGCAGACAGACTGGAAAACCAAGCATTTAGCCACATAGTTCCTAAGTGGCAGGAAATGGTGGAGTGAAAGCAGCCCAAAACCGCTGAGGAAGGAAACAGAACGGAGATGCTGCAACAGAAGCAGATAGGGATTAGATCCTGCAAGAAGGAAACAAAGTGTCAAGAAAGTAACGCAGGAAACTGACGTGTAATTGTTACTGACCTGAGCCTGTGGCAGGAGTTCGGCTCCACAGAGCCTGCAGTGACTATTGCAGGAAGCCAGTGCTGAAGTGCTATGGACAAGTCAGCCAGCTGTGAGACAACACTAAGTAAATGTTTCATTTCTGATGCAAGAAGCAGCTTCAGACAACTCTTCTCCCAAACCAAAGCAATACATGAACCTCTCCAAAAATTTTCTACCCCTGCTGACAGTCATGTTTTTATCCCCCTCAGCAGGCATGTATGGAAATGCTGCAGCACAGGTTTCCAAATGTACACACACCACCAACTTTTCCCTCTTTTTGTGCAGAGCTCTGCCACAGCTGCACTCCCCTGCGTAGCAGAACACCAGGAGCTAGAACATCTGTGCTTCTCACCCAGGAAGTGGCAACACTCCTAAAAAGGGGACAACAACTGAC